GTTCATGTTATAATTGCTACAGTATCGTTTGAAATTTTGCGTTATTCGAGAAGCAATCTCGCAAAGAGATAATGAATAAACAAATAATTAAATAAAAATTTAATAAATAAACAATAATAAATACAGGGTGTCCGCAATTCCGAAAGTAGGGGATTCCCGAGGTTATTTGAAGCAACTTTTTCCTTAACGAAAATGCAATCCGCGGTTTCGTTTACGAGTTATTAACGAAAAATAGTGACCAATCAGAGGCAAGATCATTTGCCGCGAGACGGCCGAGCCAATGAGCGGAACTGGGCTCCGTGCACTCATTGACTGGGCCGCCGCGTGTCAGCCGAGCTCGCCTCTTATTGGTCAGTGTTTTTCGTTAATAACTCGTGAACGAAGTCACGGAGAAAATTTTCGCAAAGGAAAAAGTTGCTTCAAATGACCTCAGGAACCTCCCATTTCCGGATTGCGAGACATTTTCGAGACACCCTGTATATAATGATTAATTTTAAATTTAGGCCACGGTAATTTCTACTTTACTTTTTCATTAATAGCTAAACAATATAATACACGACATCTCCGTCGCTTTTCTAGAATTAGAAACATTAAAGAAAGAGTATAGCTCGGTTTGTTTACTTTGGTCGACTTGGTGAAAAAGTTCCGTGCTCTTTCGGGTGACCGAAAGAATACGCCTCGCCGACGCGCAGTAATTCGAGACGAAAGAATGCGGATTCGGTAACGAAGCGGGCAGATAGCTTCGAACGAATCGATCGGAAACGTCCGAGTTGGTCGCCGGCGATCTTAACGGACGCTCCAATTCGCACGGTCGTTAGAAATATTATTTGCCCCGGTTCGCGGAACGCGTACACGAGAAGACAATAGCAAACGTGCCGCCACGGTTCTATTATTCATTCGCCGAGGGCGGTGATCGATATACTGCCAATTTAAAAATACATTCGAAGAAAAAGAAATACAACAGCCGAGAAGAAAAGTTTCGCCTGGATTCTGCTGCCCGCGCGCACACTCTCGCATGACGAATCGTCTGTTTTTCGTCGGGTTTAAAAATAAAGGCACGCGAAAGACCGGGACCTGTGGTGTTCCACGGTCTCGTTGATATCGCGGCCCCGACCTCCCGCCGAGAATAAAAAAAAGAAACAAATGCACGGATCCGCGCGAAAACCTTTCGGCGCAGGCATTCGCGTGTGGTCCTCCGTGTGTGCTTCTCCATCGTTCGAGAACAAAAAAAAAAAAGAAAAAAATACACGTTCCCGTGTGGCCGAGAGGGAATTTATTTATGCGAATGTACACGTAAACCCGGCCACCTTGCACGAAACGCTCGCGCGAACAAGCTGAAGGAGAAAATATCATACGTAAGAGAGCTTTTCATGTTATATAAGGAATTCAAAATTAGTATCTCGGAAAACATCGCGAGTGCCAGCCAATGATCCTCCATGTTTTTCCAACCGAGTCTCCGCGGCGTGCATCGAATTCAAGTTTCGCAAATTTAATATAACTCGAACAGAAATATTGGCATGGCCGGGGAAACTTTTTAACGGTAACGGCCTGGCGATTCGATAACGTGTAAACAATTGGAAAATCACGGTTACGAAAATATTAGGTGCAGGGGTCCGCGCGCGCGTATCTGAAATATTATTTAATACTTTGTTTATACTTTAAATATATAAATTTGTTTAAATATATAATTTTACTTTAAGTATATAATTTTACTTTAAATATATATTTTTACTTTAAATATATATTAATATTTTAAATATATAATATGAATACTTTAAATATTATTAATACTCGCTCAAATATTATTATTTCTATCTGAGAATAATCTTCGATTATTCTATAATTTTTTAACTAGCTCTACACGGTTGTTCGTTAATTTAACATTACATTAAAAAAATTATTCGTGCACTTGTTTCAAAGACGAAAAGAACTATTGTCGTGGTCGAACAAATTTTTCAATTGCATAAAGTAAACAATTGAAAGATAACAACTGAAAAAAAACATGATGAAATGAGAAATAGTATCGAAACTTTTTTTTATAATTTCTGAAATATTACAATAAATTATATATAATAATAATAATAATAATAATATTAAATATAATTATATATAATTATATTTAAGCTCGTTGAATTATTATTTTCGTCTCATTAGAATGTATTCTGTCCCTAGAGCAATTTCAAATAATTATATTCCATCATTCGTGGCTGGTCATAACAATTGTTTACGTTCGTCGTCTGTATCCACTTTCGAATCCCGTTTGAAATCACGATATCCACGATCCGTCGCGAGCGTATTCGTGGACCTTGGAACGAACAGGATTACGCGATAACGCTTAACCGAGAAATAATTCTGTTTACTTGAAAATCGGAGGCGGTGCCGGTGCCGGTGCCGGTGCCACGGTTTATTTCTGATTGGATTCGTATCATCGTCATATTTGCATGAGGTTATCATTTCGCCGTCGTTTCCGAAGGCCGATCCCCTGGCGATCTGCCTTGATTTCTCTTTAGCAAGGTCGATTTGGCCCCGCTCCACAAACCTTCTGTCCAAAATTGCGCAACCCGGGATTTTCAAGTGCATTTACACGTGTGTTTCTCGCGGGCGAGGAAGAGAACGACAGGCGGCCACCGGAGAGAGACATGTAATTGTTCTTGACAATTTCTATGATGCATCGCGTGTCGAGTTTCCCTTCTGGTACATTCCACTTGGTCCGCTATTTTAACGTTGATGTATCGTTTCCGCGTGCGCACGTGCGCGCTCTCCACGCTAATTCACCCCGTTTAATAGTCGGCCGTTTATTCGCCGAGATTTGTTTATTATTCGGACGCTGTAAATTTCTTTTATTTATAGAACCCGCTTCCGAACCGCGGTATTAATTTATAAGAAATCGCGTCCTAAAAAAATAAAAAGGATGCGAGAAGTGAAAGGAAAAGTCGAGAAAAATATTTTCTCTAAATCAAGAAATTGAAAAATTAAAAAATTTCTTAAATTCTAGCCTTTTTCTGCTAAATTCAACCAAATATTATAACCAATAATTAAAAATTATTATATAATATAAAATATAATATAATATTATATTATAATATAATATGATATAATGTAATATAATATAATATTGTTGCGAATTACTGCATTTCTCTCGCGTCGCGGCATTTTATTTACAATAAAGTACATAAACTATAATACAACTCAATTCAATTATGTTAGAGATCTTTGAATTAGAAATGTTGATCGCTCGACGGTCCGATCCCGACTACTCGATTGTCCGTTGATAACACACCTCCGTGGCAACCCCTCTCTTCTATTATTCTTTAAGGAGTTGTTCACAACAGGGCAGTTTCACATTACAGCGACTTGATTTGGACAAGTCGCCGTAACAGTATAATATAATATAATATAATATAAAATTAAATATTCAACCAATTATAATATATTTATAATATATTATTATAATATATATTTATAATATTATAAATATATAATATCTTGTATATTTATAATATATAACATTCAAGAAAATTTCGATGAAGTATATCCTTAAAAAATTTATTAAATATTCTTGAGATCACCGGGTACATAGGACGTTTATTAATCAGGGAAAATAAATAGTCGATCGCGCGTTAGCGCAAATGAAAATGTTGCATCGATAGTGTATCGCGTTAGAACAGGTAAATTTGACCGGATCGTCGCTCGCTCGGTCTCGGTCTCGGTTTCTGTTGATAATAAAAGATACTTGGATGTCGCAGCTGGCGTGACACTCAACTGCCACGTACAATAAACCGTTGTTCGTTGAAATTTGGGATGCTTGCTAGGGATCAGCAAGTATTTTCAGTAAATTGTTAGTCATCGTTTGAACGCGCGACTTTTCTTACAATGTCTGTTTCTTGGACAATCGGGAATCAGACTCGAAAACAACATTTCTTGAGAACTATTATTGGATCCGTTCATGCTTTGACATAAATGAATTTATTTTCTCGCGTTTCACAGGTACATATCTGTAACATTGTTTATTTACTGTACGATGCGCGACATTCTTTTTGGTTCACCTTGATTAATTTTACAAAATATTAATTCGATAGCTCGATTAAGATAANCTCGATTAAGATAATTTCAATTAAATAGTTCGATTAAATTAATTTCAATTCGATAATGCAATTAAATTAATTTCAATTAAATAGTTCAGTTACATTAATTTTAATTCCATAGTTCAATTATATTAACTGTAATTCAATTGTTCAATTAAATTGATTTCAATTCAATTGTTCAATTAAATTGATTGCAATTCAATTGTTCAATTAAATTGATTGAAATTCAATTGTTTAATTAAATTGATATTAATTCAATTGTTCAATTAAATTGATATTAATTCAATAATTCAATAAAATTAATTTCAGTTCAGTAATTCGATTAAATTAATTTCAATTCAATAATTCGATTAAATTAATTTCAATTCAATAATGGAATTAAATTAATTTCAATTCAATAATTCAGTTAAATTAATTTCAATTCAATGGTTCAGTTATATTAATTTTAATTTTATAGTTCAATTACATTAATTTTAATATTCAATAGTTCAATTAAAGTAATTTACCCTTATATTAATTAACCCCCTACCGTACCATTATCTTCACAATTACAATGAATCGAACTTGTTTAGTTACAACCCGTTTCCTTTCGCGAACATAAAATTTATTTACCACCCAAAAAAGAAAGAGAAACAAAAATTACTCGTCAAAATAATTATCAAGCGATCCGAATCGTCGCTCGAAACCCAATGACACCAGATATCTTCACAACGTAACCCGACCGGCAAATGACCAACAGTCGGTGCGTAGAACGCGAGAAAGACGAAAATTGCATGCCACCCGAAACCCGAACCGTTCCATTCGTACTCCGCGCATTAATCCATCATCCGTGTGCCCCCTGTGCTGTGTGTGTGCCGTTGACAACGCTATTCTCCTAGAAAAACAAAATATTAAAAATCGCTGGGCTCGTTACAGAAAGGAAAGGTGTATATTACGAGGTTCCTGGGGAAGCGGGACCGGGAGCGCGAACCGGCGAAAAGCCGTCCACAGGTTTAGGGAGCGGCGTCGACGGCGTTGTCCTCGAGACAGTGCCATTGGACGCACGCGGATTGCCATTAGAGATAGCGCTCGCGCCGGGCGACGAGTCGCTGCCATGGAGAAAAGATCGGGTGCGGGTTCGACCTCGACCGATCGTCGCGACGCCGTGGCGACCGAGGTCGCGGGACAGCTCGTTGGACAAGCTGCAGGCAGTCGAGGGCCAGGCGATGAAGCCGTGGACCGAGGAGAAGGTGACCCTGAAGAAGGCGAAGCCTGTAAGAAAGGAGATCGAGAAGGAGACCTTGGAGACGGTCGAGTTGAAACCTTCGAAGATTGCGAAGACTCCGGTGCGAAAGGCGAGTCTGGACCAAGTGACCTTGAAGCCGGTTCCGAGAGCAGTCCCTGAAGAAGTGGTCAAAGAGACGGTCGCGACTTCCGAATACGTCGAAGAGGAGGACACGTCGTTGCTGGACGTGTCGCGGACGGAGGACGTGAAGAAGCTCCGGAAAGAGAAGATCGAGGCACCGGAGCAGCCGAAACCTTGGACAGAGGAGAAGGTGACCCTGAAGAGGGCGGCGCCGGTGCGCAAGGAGGTCGCGAAGGAGGCGATTGAGCCCGTGGAATTGAAGCCGTCGAAAATCGTGAAGGCGCCGATACGGAAGTCGAGCCTGGAGACGGTGGATCTGAAGTCGGTGACGAGGAAGACCGCTGAAGAGATCGTCGAGGAGACCACGAAGAAGGTGGAGGAGTACATTGAGGAAGAAGACACGACGCTGCTCGATGTATCGAGAGACGAGCGGATCAAGAAGACGAGGAAGGAGTCGATCTCGACCGAGAAGGTTATCGAGCCTAAGCCTTGGACGGAGGAGGCGGTGGCCCTGAAGAGGACCAAGCCGCAGCGGAAGGAAACTCCGCGCGAGAAGATCGAGACGATGGAGCTGAAGCCTTCCCGGCCGGAGAAAATCGAGATCGGGAAGCCGGAGGTCGAGCGCGTGGACCTGAAGCCGGCTCCAAAGGAAGCTCCGAAGGAAGCTCCGCGGAAACCCGAAGAGAAAGCAGTCTACCTTGAAGAAGAGGACACCGCGTTGCTCGGCGTGAGCTTGGAGGAGCAGCTCCGGGTCGACAAAACGGTAAAGAAAAGAGCCGAGGTGGTCGAGAAGAAGCCGGAATCGAGGCCGTGGACGGAGGAGCGGGTGACCCTGAAGAGAGCGAAGGTCGAGCAGAAGGAGGTCCAGAAGGAGATAATAGAAGAAGTGACATTGAAGCCGACGAGAACGGAGAAGAAAGAGATCGCGAAGGAGAGCGTGGAGAAGGTGGAGCTGCAGAAACTGGTGGAGAAGACTGGATACCTTGAAGAGGAGGACACGAGCCTGCTGAAGGTGGACAGGGACGAGAGGACCGAGGAGGAAAGGCTGGAGAAGGCCGTGAGCTGGCGGAGAGGTAAGAAGCCGAAGGAGCAGGCGCCTTACCGCGAGGAGGAGGACAAGACGCTGCTCGACCTGAAGAAAGACGTTGAAGAAAAGGAGAAGCTGAAGGAGGTGCCGGTCCCGTGGCAGCGAGGCAAGAAGAAGCCGGCGGAGAAGGCGCCCTATCGGGAGGAGGAGGACACGACTGTTCTCGACATCGAAAAGACTGAAAAGACGACTGAGAAACAGGCGATGGAAGAGGCGGCCGTTCCGTGGGCGCGAGGCAAGAAGAAGAAGAAGGAAGAAGAGAAACCTGAAGAGAGGCCCACGGAGGAGGAAGAGGAGAAGCCGGCAGAGACGACGGTGCCTTGGCTGCGGGGCAAGAAAGCGCCGCGGGAGATGCACGAGAAGAAGGACGAGGAACAACTCGAAGACATCAGGTCGGTGGCCTTGAAGCCGGTCAGACGCGAACGCGCACCCGAAGAGAAGGAGAGGCCGGAGGAGGTGCTCCTAAAGCCTGTAAAACGCATTCCACGGGAAGAGGAGGAGAAGGAGGAGGTGCAACTGAAGCCCATTCCGATACGCAAGCCCGAGGAGAAGCCGCGTGACGAAATCAAGTTGAAACCATTCCAGAAACCGAGACCCGAAGAAGCGGCGAAGGAGAAGCCTGGAGAACCGAAGCCGTTCGCGCCCGGGAAACATGAAGAGGCACCCTCGGAAGAGGAACAGCCGACAGAGGTCTCGGAGGTGTCGTGGCGCCGGAAACCGAAGCCGAGGAAACCCGAGGAGAAGCCTGTTGAGCTTGAAAAGGCGATGCCGCCGGCCGAGAGAGTACCCGAAGAGGCGAAGACGGTCGAAGACAAGGTGCTGGCGAGGAGGGAGGAGGAAACGGTCGAGGACTTCAAGTCTCTGGCCTTGAAGCCGGTGAAGCGGGGCAAGAGGCCCGAGGAGAAGGAAGAGAAGGAGGAGATCACCTTGAAGCCGGTGAAACGGCTTCCGAAAGACGAAGAAGTCGCTGAAGAGATCAAGTTGAAGCCGGTCGAGAAACCGAAGCCGGAATTAGCGGAAGAGAAGCCGGCGGAAGTGCCGGAAATGCCGTGGCGCCGCGGCAAGAAGAAACCTGCGGACGTCGTCGAGGCGGCGCCAGAGCTTCCCGAAGAGAAGAAGGAAGATGAAGAGCAACGCGAGGTGTCCGAGGTGAGTTGGCGCAAGCCGAAGAAGCTCGCGAAAGAAGTTGAAAAGCGGCCAGAGACCGAGGACTTCGCGGCCGTCGTCTTGAAGCCTGCCAAACGCGGCAAGAAACCCGAAGAGAAGCTCGAGCAGGAGGAAGTTATTCTGAAGCCGGTGAAGAAGTTGCCGAAGGAGGAGGAGACTGCTGAAGAGGTGGCGCTTAAGCCGGTGAAATTAGAGAAGCCCGAGACTGTGGAGAACGGGGAGGTCCCCGAGGAGAAGGCCGAGCTACCATGGCGTCGTGGCAAGAAGCCGAAGAAAGTGGTGCCGGAAGAAGAAGCGAGACCCGAAGAGATGCGGAAACCTGAGGAAGCAGTGCCCACGGTGCCCAAGGAAGAGATTATGCCGAAGCCGGTAAGAATGGAGAAACCGGAAGAAGAAGAGAAGCCGGAAGTGAAATTGAAACCGGTCAGACGGTTGCCGAAACCGGAACCAGAGAAACCTGAAGAAGTAACCCTGAAACCGGTGAAACGGCTTCCGAAGGAAGAAGAAGAAAAGGAGGAGGTCACTTTGAAACCGATTAAGAAAGAGAAACCGGAAGAGGAGAAGCCCGAAGTGAAATTGAAACCGTTCAAACGGCTGCCGAAACCGGAAGAAGAGAAACCTGAAGAGGTTGTATTGAAACCGGCCAAACGCCTTCCCAAGGAAGAAGAAGAGAAGGAGGAGATCACTTTGAAACCGATTAAGAAGGAAAAACCGGAAGAAGAGAAGCCCGAAGTGAAATTGAAGCCAGTGAAACGTTTACCGAAACCTGAAGAAGAGAAACCCGAAGAGGTTGTTTTGAAGCCTTTCAAGCGACTTCCAAAGGAAGAAGAAGAGAAAGAAGAGGTCACCTTGAAGCCTGTAACGAAAGAGAAGCCGGAGGAAGAGAAACCGGGGGTGAAATTGAAACCTGTGAAACGTTTACCGAAGCCGGAAGAAGAGAAACCTGAAGAGGTTGTTTTGAAGCCTTTCAAACGACTTCCTAAGGAAGAAGAAGAGAAAGAAGAGGTCACTTTGAAACCGGTGAAGAAAGAGAAGCTGGAGGAAGAAAAGCCAGAAATTAAATTGAAACCTGTGAAACGGCTTCCTAAGGAGGAAGAAGAGAAACCTGAAGAAGTTGTACTGAAGCCTTTCAAGCGTCTTCCCAAAGAGGAAGAAGAAAAAGAAGAGGTTACGTTGAAGCCTATAAAGAAAGAGAAGCCGGAGGAAGAGAAACCGGAAGTTAAATTGAAGCCTGTGAAACGTTTACCAAAACCGGAAGAAGAGAAACCTGAAGAAGTTCTATTGAAACCATTCAAACGACTGCCTAAGGAAGAAGAAGAGAAAGAAGAGGTCACTTTGAAGCCTGTAATTAAAGAGAAACCGGAGGAAGAAAAGCCAGAAATTAAATTGAAACCTGTGAAACGTTTACCGAAACTGGAAGAAGAGAAACCCGAAGAAGTGACCTTGAAACCAGCGAAACGTCTTCCTAAGGATGAGGAAGAGAAAGAAGAGATTGCTCTGAAACCGGTGAAGAAAGAGAAGCCAGAGGAAGAAAAGCCAGAAATTAAATTGAAACCTGTGAAACGGCTTCCAAAGGAGGAAGAAGAGAAACCTGAAGAAGTTGTCTTGAAGCCTTTCAAGCGTCTTCCCAAAGAGGAAGAAGAAAAAGAAGAGGTTACGTTGAAGCCTATAAAGAAAGAGAAGCCGGAGGAAGAGAAACCGGAAGTTAAATTGAAGCCTGTGAAACGTTTACCAAAACCGGAAGAAGAGAAACCTGAAGAAGTTCTATTGAAACCATTCAAACGACTGCCTAAGGAAGAAGAAGAGAAAGAAGAGGTCACTTTGAAGCCTGTAATTAAAGAGAAACCGGAGGAAGAAAAGCCAGAAATTAAATTGAAACCTGTGAAACGTTTACCGAAACCGGAAGAAGAGAAACCCGAAGAAGTGACCTTGAAACCAGCGAAACGTCTTCCTAAGGATGAGGAAGAGAAAGAAGAGATTGCTCTGAAACCGGTGAAGAAAGAGAAGCCAGAGGAAGAAAAGCCAGAAATTAAATTGAAACCTGTGAAACGGCTTCCAAAGGAGGAAGAAGAGAAACCTGAAGAAGTTGTCTTGAAGCCTTTCAAGCGTCTTCCCAAAGAGGAAGAAGAAAAAGAAGAGGTTACATTGAAGCCTATAACGAAAGAGAAGCCGGAGGAAGAGAAACCAGAAGTGAAGTTGAAACCGTTCAAACGGCTGCCAAAACCGGAAGAAGAGAAACCCGAAGAAGTGACCTTGAAACCAGCGAAACGTCTTCCAAAGGATGAAGAAGAGAAGGAAGAGGTTACTCTGAAACCGGTGAAGAAAGAGAAACCGGAGGAAGAAAAGCCAGAAATTAAATTGAAACCTGTGAAACGGCTTCCTAAGGAAGAAGAGGAGAAGGAAGAAATAACCTTGAAACCGATAAAGAAAGAGAAGCCGGAAGAAGAGAAGCCGGAGGTGAAATTGAAGCCATTCAAGCGACTTCCTAAGGAAGAAGAAGAGAAGCCTGAAGAGGTTGTTTTGAAGCCTTTCAAACGACTTCCGAAGGAAGAAGAGGAGAAGGAAGAAGTAATCTTGAAACCGATAAAGAAAGAGAAACCGGAAGAAGAGAAGCCAGAGGTAAAACTAAAGCCTTTCAAGCGGCTTCCTAAGGAAGAAGAAGAGAAACCTGAAGAAGTTGTCTTGAAACCGGTCAAGCGGCTCCCCAAGGAAGAAGAAGAGAAGGAGGAGGTTGCTTTGAAGCCGATAAAGAGAGAGAAACCAGAAGAGGAAAAGCCGGAGGTGAAACTGAAGCCTGTCAAGCGGCTTCCTAAGGAAGAAGAAGAGAAACTTGAAGAAGTGATCCTGAAACCGGTCAAACGGCTTCCAAAGGAAGAAGGAGAAAAGGAAGAAGTGACTCTGAAGCCAATCGAGAAAGAGAAGCCGGAAGAGGAGAAACCGGAAGTTAAACTTAAGCCCGTGAAACGTGTACCGGAACCTGAAGAGGAGAAGCCTGAAGAAGTTGCTCTGAAACCGATGAAGAGAGAGAAGGAGGAAGAGAAGCCGGAAGAAGTCAAATTGAAGCCTGTGAAACGCCCGGAGAAACCTGTCGAGGAGAAACCGGAAGAAGTGACCTTGAAGCCGGTGAAGCGACTTCCCAAGGAGGAAGAGAAGCCGGAAGAAGTGACCTTGAAGCCGGTGAAGAGAGAAAAGCCGGAAGAGGAAAAGCCTGAAGAGATAAAATTGAAACCTGTGAAACGTTTGGAGAAGCCGGTCGAAGAAAAACCGGAAGAAATCAAACTGAAACCGATACCGAAACCAGAAAAACCGGAGGAGGCTAAGAAAGATGAGATTACACCGAAGCCGATCGTACCTGAAGAGGTGGAAGAGAAGCCTGCCGAGGAAGAGGCACCGCAATTGCCATGGCGCCGTGGCAAGAAGATCAAAAAGGTGGTCGATTTCCGCGAAGAAGTCACGGTGGTGCCGATCGACCAAGAAAAGATTGTAACCAAACTCGAAGAGGAGGTGAAGACGCTCGTGGAGCGGAAAGCCGAAGAAGTGGTACAAGTGAAAACTGAAGAGGTCGTCGCCAAGATGCCGGAAGAAGCTCCGGCGCTTCCTTGGCGAAGGCCTAAGGAACCGCAGAAGGTCGAAGTCGAGGAAGTGAAACCTGAAGAGGTCAAAGAAGAAGACAAAGTTGTCGAAGAAGTGACGGAAACGTCCGAGATATCCTGGCGAAGGAAACGAAGGCCGAAAAAGCCGGAGGAGGTCGAGAAACCTGAGGAAGTGGTCCTCAAACCAGTTAAGAAAGAGAAGCCTGAAGGGAAACCTGAAGGGAAACCTGAAGAGAAACCTGAGGAGAAACCGAAGCCGAAGATGCCTGAAGAGACAGTGGAGAAGGTGGAATCGGTCATCGAAATAACCAGAAGGAAACCGAAGAAGCCTGAAGAGGTACCTGAAGAGAAGGTGGAAGAGGCCGTGGTCACCGCCGAAGAGACCCGAGTGATCAAGAAAGTGGTCCAGGTCGAAGAGCAAGTCGCGCAGCAAGTGGTCGAGGTCGAACAGAAGGTTGAGGAGGAAGTGCAGGTCGAAGACCGGCGAAGGAAACGCAAGCAGCGTACTCAGGTCGAGATATCGATCACAGACAAAGACAAAAAGATCGCCCCGAGATTCATTCAGAAACTCCAGCCAGTGATCGCCGAGCCCGAGTCGACCGCGAGATTTACTTGCACGGTATTTGGCAATCCGTTCCCCGAAATCTCCTGGTACAGGAACGAACAGGAGCTCCACGCCAGCGAGAAGTATATCATGACGATATACGAAACAACCGCCGCATTGGAGATCACGAAAGTGAAGGAGGAGGACGCCGGCATGTATTCTTGCAGGGCCTCGAATCCTGCCGGGGTGGCGACGTCCACCGTGAATCTCGTGATATTCGGTATTCAAATTGTTTACCATCTCGTGCTTGTGTGATCGTTTTAATGTTTTGCTGTACGAAGACAAATTCTTGCTGTGCGCTTTTAATACACGACTGGTGATCGTTCGTAGACATTCTAGCATTCTAGTTTCTTGATCTCGAAAAAATGTAGAAGGTCAAAGTTTGTTAGTATTAACGAATGCATGGTCGAAGGCAATCTAGCACTATTCGAGGTTATGTTTATCGAACTTTACGTATAAGTGCTAATCCTGTCTCTTATACACATCTAGATGTGTATAAGAGACAGGTCGAAGGCAATCTAGCACTATTCGAGGTTATGTTTATCGAACTTTACGTATAAGTGCGTTGTCACGAGCGACCTGAACTCCTGGCCAATGAGAACGGGCCCAGAAGAGGCCGAGGTAAGGAGGGGGTAAATTTGGAGTTCCGATCCGCGTGGTAGATGGCGATGGAGTCTACGTATTGCACTTCAACGGTTAGCTTGTGTTTTCACGGTGCAAATTATGCAAGTTTTTTTTCTGAAAATAACTAGTACAGAGTGACACTTATTTTTGCTACATTATCAGATTTTAAGCATGTTTAACGTGATATTTTAATTCGTCATAAATATGCGTTAACGATGATTATATGTTTGTAATGTTGTAACAACATTATGTTCCTTTATTTGGCGGTGTTTCTAGGATCATTTGTGCTTGATCTTTTCTTGTGCAATCCTTACTGCGAGGATATAAAAATGATTTAGTCGAAATCGTTAATTAATTAATATTTATTTTTAATATTTAATATTTTGATATATAATAATAAATATTATTTGATTAATATTTAATTAAATATTTGTTTAGCCGACATTCAAATCGATTGAATTGTTTAATTATTGAGGTTAACTATGGAAATGCATTTCAGGTAGGTATCGCGTTGCGAAAAAATTCACAGAGATCACCTGTTTAATGTTAGAACCACGAAATACGTGCTGAGGATACTAGAATAAAAAACATAGTTTAACCATTTAAGAAGCCGTGTTCAGTTTTGGTTTGCTGTGATTGTATTAAATATATAAATATATTATTAACACTAATTACAATATAGTTAATAATTATACATATTAATTATATTCATATTTATAATCATATTTATTTAACAATCTAAAAAAAAGTGTCGACGACAACGACTAATGCCGAATTCTCTGTCCAGAAAAAGAGGAGGAGGGCGTGGCGCCGCACTTCGCGACGCCGATAAAGCCGTTGATGGTCGAAGAACAAAAGCCGGCCCGGCTCGAGTGCGTGGTGACCGGGACGCCGATGCCGGAGGTGAAGTGGTACCGTGGCGAGCAAGAGCTGAAGCCGACCAGGGGCCGAAAGGTCAGCTTCAACCCCGAGACCGGCGAGGCGAGGCTAGAGATCCTGGAGCCGACGTCCGAGGACGAGACAATTTATCGGGTGCGCGCGGTGAACAAGTTCGGCCGTGCCGAGTGCCGGGCGAACCTGGTGATCAGCACCGCGGCGCGGGTCAGCAAGCCGGAAGTGCTCAGGGCGCCGCGGATCACGCGGCCGCTGCCGGCCCTGGTGGCCGAGCGCGGCGAGCCGCTCACGCTCTCGGCCGACTTCGAGAGCAAACCGGCGCCGGACGTGAAATGGTTCCGTAACGGCGTGGAGATCGTGCCATCGGACCAACGGCTGATCAGGATCCACGAGAGCACCGCCGAGCTGCTGATCCCGGAGGTGACCAAGAAGGACGGCGGCAAATACGAGGTCAGGGTGCAGAATCCCGTCGGCGAAGCGAGGAGCTCCGGCTCGGTCACCGTTCGCGAACGCCAGGAGAAGCCGGACGAGGTGAAAGCGCCGAGATTCGTCGAGCCTATACAGCCGCAGATCGTCGCCGAAGGAGAGGTGGTCATCATGGAAGCGAGAGTCGAGTCCTATCCGACCGCGTCGTTCCAGTGGTTCCACGAAACACGGCCGTTGGAGGTACATACATACGTAGTTTCGATTTTATTTATGATCGCTCTCGACGAACATACTGTGGGCCACGAAAGTGTTCCTACATCCTTTTAAGATGCAATAGTTATTTTAAAATTGAACTAAATGACTCGAATTTTCTTCTTTTTAGATGATAGAGAGACTGGTTTACTGGACGATGACAGAAATGATTCTTTTGTTTAATTTTGCTGTCATTTGGAGTGGCAAAAAATACATAAAAATTTCTCGTTTTTTAACTTTTTTATCGGAGCCTGTAACAAAAATTTTATAGAAGGTCTTTCGTAGATTTCGGTAACTTATATGCATGTGGAAAATTTGATTTTAATTATTTATTTGATTTTAATTATGTTGTCTTTTGACTGCGTTGTGATTCGATTAGAATTGCATTTCAATTAGAATTCCGCTTCAATTAGGATTCCATTTCAATTAGAATTCCATTTCAATTAGAATTCCATTTCAATTAGAATTCCGCTTCAATTAGAATTCCATTTCAATTAGAATTCCGCGTCAATTAGAATTCCACTTCATTTAGAATTCCATTTCAATTAAAATTCCGCTTCAATTAGAATTCCATTTCAATTAGAATTCCATTTCAATCAGAATTCCGCTTCAATTAGAATTTCATTTCAGTTACAATTCCGTTTTAATTGGAATTCCATTTCAATTACAATTCCATTTCGATTAAGGTTACATTGTATTTCAGTTGCATTTTATTATCTCAATTATGTTGTATTTCAATCGCACTGTATATCAATTATATTATAATTCAAGTGTACATTTTATTTCAATCACATTATAATTCAATCACATTGTAATTCAACTGTATCATAGTTCCATTACATTGTAATTCAACTATATTATAGTTCAATTACATTTTAATTTAAGTGCATTGTATTTCAATTACATTGTAATTGAACCATATTATAACTCAATTACATTGCAATTTAACCGCATTGATTTCAACTACTCCATCAAATTGCTACGTAATTTTCAATTAGAACGCAATTAAATTACGAAATTGAAAAACAACGTACCCAATCAAGCGCGACTCTGCTTCAGACTTTACGTTCGACTGTATAAAAGGTTAAAAGTGACTCGCAGTTTACACAATCGATCCATGTACATAATAGCCTGCGCCATAGACGCGTGAAATCCTTGTTGTCTAACAACGATCGAACCAAACGCCGAACGCGTGATAAAGAACGCAGAATCTTCGCAGAATCTTCGTTAAAGAAAAAGTGACGAAACTATTAATATTCGCATTATAAAACTAAAAATATTTTGTTTTCCAGTCGACGTCGCAAGTGAGGATCGTGACGCAGGAGAACCGCTCGATCCTGATGATAAACGAGATAAAAACAGAGTACGCCGGCACGTACACCTGCCGCGCGGAGAACGTCGGCGGGTCTGTCACTTGCACGGCCACCGTGAATCTGTTGGAAACACCGTGGGAGGAGACGGTGGAGCTGGTGTCGCCGACGTTCGTCAAACGATTGTCCCCGGTCCGGGTGATGGACGGCGAGAGCGCGAACCTGACGTGCGTCGTGCAGGGCAAACCGACGCCGAGGGTCGAATGGTACCACGACAACAAGCCGATCAAGGAGGGCAAGGAGATCACCATTTTACAGGACACCGAGGGTGTCTGCAGTCTAGCTATCACCGAGGTGTTCCCGGAGGACGCCGGCGAGTACACTTGCCGGGCCGTGAATCCAGTCGGCGAGGCCGTTTGCACGTCGTCGCTCGTCGTCGAAGGTAACCACCTCGCTCGTATTATGCTCGCTCGCATAATCGATCATCTGTGCCCTCGCGATCATTTTACCCTTTGCACTGTTCGACTAAAAATTTCCATGAAGACTGTACATTTCGTCGAACTCGGCAATTTTCGATGCGAGAAACATGGGCCGACATTTAAAGGGTCACAGCGGCGAGGGTGCGTCTGAATTAAAAACAAAGAGCACTGTGGTAAAGTAGAAGCTTCAAGCTTTGATTTAAAAATAGTATCGTCGTTCTGCGATGATTTATCGCGGAGTTATCGTCGGTCAAAGATCGCCAATTTTGATCCCAGAGTACAAAATTTTTGGTAATATTTGGTCAACTTTGATCAACGATAACTCCGCGGGAAATGATCGCAGAACGATGACTAAAGCTTGGAATCTCTGCTTTGAGACACTGTTTCTCGATTTTTTGTCTCATTAATCTGTCGTCACTGTAACCGTTTAAATTTGGGGCCATGTTTGTCACCGTGGAAATTGTCACGTCGAAAATTTGCCAACTTCGACAAAATGTGACGACTTTGTAAAATTTTTTTCGGAGACGCTGTTTACAGTGAAATAAAGTTCGATCCTTTCCCTTAAATTTAAAAGAAGAGAGGCTTAGCTGCGGTTTTTTTCGCGAAGGTACGGCGCTTCGAAGTGACCCTTGCATTTTCGTCATGTTCCATCTTTCTGAGGGCACAGTAATACGATCGGAAACTGTTGTGTACATTTTGTCGAATGTTTCGTGTTCCTCGCATATTTTACAATTTTGTAGTTGACATATAAAAAACATCGTTATATAAGTTAAATGTTTCAACAAGCGCGACGCAGGTGAAATAAAACTGTTCGATTTGTCGATAACTCCAGACGTGACTTTATCGGGCACAGTAATTGGTACGCGTCACCATATTTAATACGGAAACGGTAACCGAACCGCGGGCATTCGCGCGAATTACCGTTTTAATAGACGGAAAATTAGATGTTTGCGCGCGACGCTGCGCTTAGAAACCGGATTTCAGTGAATCTGGGACGCTTTTCTAAACGAGAAAGAGAAATTTCGACCGCGTCCAGTCTCAATGATTAATTTAGCAAACTGAAATACGATAGCAATCGACGCGAGAATTATTTGGAATTGCGATACGGTAATTTTTATTATTATTATTTTTGTATTTTTGTATTTTTATTATTACATTAATCACGTTCTGTAATTATTATATATTATATATTATTATATATTATATTCTATATATTATTATATAAATGACGAGATAGTTTCACATGTTACGGTGACACGGATCTAAAAATTCGATTAAAAGGAATACCAAAAGAGAATAAAAATAAATAGAAAAAACAATTGTTTCAGCGTACGAGTATGTGCCAGACTCAGAGATCGCATCATCGCTGATCGCGACATCGCTTACTACAGGGCCAAGTGGATCAGAGGAAGATCTCTTATCTCCCAAGGTTCGTCTACATAAATCGTATAAGCTAGCATAAGCTGGTATAAAAAACATACGTGTTCGTAGAACATCGCGATTTACTAACTTCTTAATAGAATATTTCACGATAGAAGATGGTATCAATTAATTGTATATTTAATATTATTTTATACATTTATATATTATTTTTAATATTTGCGTTTCTTTTCACGTTATTTGCAATTTTGTATTTTAGCTACTTCTTGGGTCTTCTCAGTTTTATTTTTTAGCTTGTTCTTATGTTGTCAGAATTTCGGATATTTCAGTTTCCTCTTATGCCTTTACAAGTTTTAATTAGGTTTTCACAATTTTATACATTTTTGATGTCCCAAAATTATGGCACTTCTGGTAAATAAGGGGGGTTCCCCGGGTCATTTGGAGTAACTTTTTCTTCAGCAAAATTGCAATCCGCGGCTTTGTTTACGAGTTATCAACGAAAAACAGTGACCAATGAGAGGCGAGCGCGCCTGGCGCTAGGCGGCGCTAGGCGACCAATGCTGCGTCGCGATGCAGCGGTAGGGGCCGCGAGGGCGGGACGTCAGCCGTGCTTGCATCTCATTGATCAGCGTTTTTCGTTAATAACTCGTAAACGAGGCCTCGTAGAACATTTTCGCAAAGGAAAAAGTTGCTTCAAATGGCCTCAGGAACCTCTCATTTCCCGGAAGTACAAGTAATGTTAATACAATAAGTACATAACAATATAATAAATATATTATTGCAATCGAGTCTGATCGCTAGGTTATTTTTTTCGCAATCATACACACACACGTTTACGATGTTTTCAGGAAACACCTTTGTTCGACACGGACGAAGAATCCGCTCCGGAGATAATTAAGAAACTTCCTCAGTTAGTTCCTACGAAGGATGGAGAGCTAACCAGGTACAATTACTTTCAAATCGTTACAGATTGTTAAACAACAATTATCAACGGTAACATCGTCGAAATTTTTCTGTTTTCTTTTTCAATAACCGCAGAGCAATATTAGTACAATCATATTAGAAAAACTCAAATTCCGTTACAAATTCAGTTACCGTAGAGGATGACCAATCGCTGTGGCTTTGCTTTATTCTCGGCTATAATTAACTTTACATTCGTCAACCAAGAAATATTAAATGTTATTTTCTTTGCTCAAAAATAGACGAAATAAAGGAATTAAAAGATCAATAAATACAAAGTTAATTACGTCCAAGACCAAAGCAGGGACACAGCAATCGGGGGCATAGTAATCGGGAGCACAGCAATCGGGAGCACAGCACTCGGGAGCACAGTACTCGGGAGCACAGCAATTGGGGGCATAGCAATCGGGACACCGCGTTATTTTCTCAAAAATTTATCCAGCGATTTTCCATCGAAAGCTCTCTCGTTCCACGATTGAAACGATTTTGGTTTTCTGTACAGATTGGAAGTGAAGGTGAAAGGGAAACCGAAGCCGGAAGGAAAATGGTACAAGCAGGGTGTAGCGATCGTGCCGTCGCCAGAATTCCAGGTCGAAGAGTTCGAGGACGGCACGTCCGTATTGACGATCGCCGAAACGTATCCAGACGACACGGGCGAGATTGTGTTCGAGGCGCACAATCCGCTCGGCGTATCGACCACGACCACATACTTATCGGTAGAAGGTAATAAACTGCAACGATCACGACCGACGTTCGGTCGTAGACCGAATTCTCTGTCTAAGAAAAAAAAGAAAAAAAAACAGATAAAAATAAGAATATACGTGGCGGATGCTTGGCTAATTAATCTGCTTGGTTACGAGTTCTTTTCAGCTGCGATCTCCGATCGGAATCACCGTCGTCGATGAAATCTCCTAATATGCACATCCCGCACCTCCCGTCGACGATCATATCAGACTCACACTGAACACTCACATCCTTCACCGACACTTTTTTTTCGTATTCTTTTGTCCGGCGTTGTCTGCTAACTCGTTCAGCCGTTTCAGCCGCGTCCGCGTCGCCTCTGAATCATTCCGCGGTATAATGATCTTAGGGAGCGTTTCGGTTTCAACGAAACGAATTCCTTCATCGACCGTTGCGATAATTTATCTTCGGATTAAATGTTGCTGGAAACTGTTTCTCGGAATTTGTGAAGAGGTATGGAATGAATTATTATATTAATATATGATATGATATAAATACGTATTATATATAATATATTATATTGTATTAATTATATTATATTATTTTACATATATTATTTATTATTATATATTATATCTTTTATTATTATATTATATTAATATATATATATATATATATATATAAATATGTGTTATTATATTATTATATTAATTACTATATTACAGGATGAATTATTATCGGTTAATAAAATCGCGGACTACGATTTACAGTAAATTCTCCCTAATTTTCCTTCAGCTTGTCAACGAAAATGGAAAATTTGGGAAGAGGAGATACGATTAATCGAGCCTCGAGGCACATTTTTATAGTTGTTAGGTGACTGTAGAAACAAATAATCTATAATTATATATATGTGAGAATCTCCCACTTCACGGAGATACCATAATTTCTCGACACCCTTGCTTATTTAGCTCTCATTCCATGGAACGTTATTCCGATACAGACATCCGCAACAACAATCGCGCAATTTCTCCGTCGGGATCGCATTCGCGAAGCGTCTCCCGCGCAACGATTCAGAGGCGAAAGGCGAGCGACGAAAGCTCTAATTCGCAAGCAAAAGCTCGCAAAATCTCGTCCGCGGTGCTCGCCGCGTGGCGCGACTGAAACGGTCGAAGCCAGGGAGCCAGTTTTTCTAATCGTCGAACGTTTTTCTTTCTTTTCATCGGCGCCGCAGGAATCCTCGGAACGAAGGAATACAGAAAACCGTCCTGGGTGGCCGAGATGGAGGAGATGCAGGAAGCTCTGAGAGGTAAGAGCCGGTACGCTGGTGTGCTCGATTGCATGCTGAGTGAAGCGGAGTGCAGTTTCTCGACGGACAGTCTAGACGATCGGGCGATCCGCGACGAGAGCTCGCAGCGGAACAGCTCGACGATGATCAGCGAGTTCTCGTCGACGAAGACCCTGATGAACATCGACGACGAAGGTAAGCGGTGCTCCGAGGAGGAGGACGACGACGAGCCGGCCTCTCCGCGCGGATTCTACTTGTCGCGGAGGCACTCGGACTCGTCCGGGATCGAGCAGGAGCCAAGCAACGCGGAGTATTCCTGGGAGACGAGCGAAGCCGACGAGCAGGGGACCGTCGACTGCGGGGAGGAGTACGACGAGTCCGACGGCAAGGAGGTGGGATCGTCGACGGACGCGACGGAGGACCGAGAGAAGCGACTGGAACGGGCGGCGGCGAGGAGAAGAGCGTCAGATGGCTCGACGGAGAGATCGAGAAAGAGCTCGGAGATGAAGACGGTGCCGGCGAGCTCGAAGACGAAGCGGGAGACGCAGGCGAGCGCCGCCGGGAAATTGGTCACGCAGAAGACGAAGCTGCGCGCGCCGAAGGGCCAGTCGGAGAGACCTCGTCTTCAGGGCAGGCTGGCGAAGGGCGACTTTGAAGACGAGCCGAAGCTCAGGTCGCCGTCGCCGGTCCGCGCGAAATGCGCGAAGCTTTCGGCGAGCAAGATCCTCGCGGCTAGGAAATCGAGCTCGCCGTCGCCGACGAGGATGGGCAGGCCGAGGCTGTCCGAGCGGATCCTGATCGGCAGGGTGGCCGGGGACGAGGCGACGGACCGCGTGCCGGCCGGAAGTGAGTGCGCACTGCGAGTCGAGGCACTGCGGGATGAAAGGCGGAAGAGGATCGTCTTGGACTTCGACGAGTTCCCGCCGCCGAGGTCGGAGAAAAGGGGACACACTCGGATGCATCCAGACTTCTTCAACGTACCGGAGCCCGGATTCTACTTGTCGCCCATCGAGGAGAACAGCGAGGCGTCCACCGGGAGCGGCCAGAGCAGGGCGGCCGCGGCGAACTATGGGAAAACGGCGGAGACCGCACTCGAGTTCGATCACGCGAGGAAGTATCACACCTATCCGAAGTCCAGAATCCCGGTGGCCAGGTGGTCCAAGGAGCGTCGCATCGGGAACATGATGATGGACCCGAAGATGTATCCGCTGGAGCCCAGGGAGGTCGATCTAGAAGCGTTCCAGCAGCTGCACACGGCCGACAGCCAAGAGGAGCTGCAGGAGTTCTTGTTGTTAGAGAGCCAGTGCAGCGGGAACCTCGGATTGGCCGGGAACATGTCGGCCTCCGAGGTATCTTGTAGCGAGCATCACAGCGAGGATGAGAGGGGCACCATGTCAGGTAGCTCTCGCGGTTTATTTCGGCGCTAACCAAGTGTGATCGCTTCTCTCTGTGTGCTCTGCCTGATCGTAAATTGTATGGTTCTTCTATGACTCGACAGGGTTAAATTATAATTATGTCGCTTCGGGGAGCGATTTTTTTTATTATTTAAATTATCGGGGATAATTCGTCCCGTAATTATGGCACTTCCGGGAAACGAGGGGTTCCTGAGGTCATTCGAAGCAACTTTTTCCTTTGCGAAAATGTTCTACGAGCCTTCGTTTACGAGTTATCAGCGAAAAACGGTGACCAATGAGAGGCGAGCACGGCTGACGCCACGCCCTCGCGACCCCTGCCGCTGCGTCGCGACGCGGCATTGGCCGCGAGGGCGGAACGCCGCCCGCACTCGCTCTCCGAATGATCATTGTTTGTTTTTCGTTAATAACTCGTAAACAAAGCCGCGGATTGCATTTTCGCTGAGGGAAAAGTTACTTCGAATCACCTCAGGAATCACCCCTTTCCGGGTGTTGACATAATTATGGGACACCCTGTGCATTGTACGGTCGGTGTTCGAAGTATTCGTACATCTGTCAAAATGGTATAATGTTTTTAGAATTGCGATCTAAATATTTTTTGGATGTTAGAGGGATTAGAGAGAGAGAGAGAGAGAGTTTGCCAGGTTAAATTGATTGAGGAATTCTTTTGAAAAACTGCAATTGATTGGCGCGACAATAAAATTAAATGATGATGTTTCTTTCAGCTTTGTTATCCGAGTCTAGATCAAAAATTAGAAAAATACATTCAATAAAAAAATGCAAAGAGTTACTTTGTTACCAGATGGAGAATTACTTATTTTGCTACGAATTTTGAAGATTTATGGCATAAATCGTTGGATGTAACACAAAAACCAGTGACACTATAGGAACCATTTAACCAGATTCGTTTATATTGTTTGCAACTCTTTGCAAATTATTAAAAACTGGAACAAACGTTTTCACGTAGTTCCTGTTTCTTGCAAACCGATGCACAACATTTTCGATATTCGATATTTTTTTGCTTATTGATCATCGTTACTTGTTAGAACACATTTTGGTTTCATTGTTTCACAATGTTTTAAACATCGTTTTAAGCGAGAACGTTTAAAAAAGAAGAAAGGTACTTTACGATCCTGTAGAAGTGTTTGACTTTTAGCATGCATCCGTTTGTGTACGTGTGTATGTACTTTGTTTTTCTTGGCTAATCAGATTACTGACATCGGAGTCACGTGAGTCGCATAATCACCAAGCAAGACATCAGGTAACCGATTATATCCGTACGGTTCTGTTCTCGTTCATAGTTACTTAGATTAACGTCTACCGTACCGTTTCTTTCAGCCACGCAATCTATACCACGATTCATTCAAGAAATAACGGATGTTTACGCGAGGGAAGGTGAAAGCGCGGTGTTCGAGTGCAGTTATTCCGGCAATCCTACTCCAGGTATACCAATAAATAAATATATTTCAATGTATTTCATTGTATTTAATATACTTCATGTATTATATTTAAATATATTTCATACATTATATTTAACATATTATATTTAATATATTATATTTAATATATTTAATATATTATATTTAACGTATTCCATATATTATATTTAATATGTTTAATACACATAATATCTAACATATTTCTCGAATTATATTTAATATATTTCATTGATTTATATTTAAATATATTTTAATGCTGTACGCGATTCTTATTCGATAACAATAAGCGAGCAATATTGCAATATAAGAAATGATAGATTGTATGGTTTTGCTAGAATCACTTTTCTTTTTTCTTTAATTTATCAAACTTATGTAGTCGAAGTTATGTAAATTATATTTACATGTACGTCCAAATTGAAAATCATAATTCACCGTGGCAAAGTAATAATTGTATGTTTGTGAATTCGAAGACGTGGTATGGTACAAGAACGACAAGATGGTGATGAACACGAAGAACGTGAAGGTACGCCTCTACGAAGAGGACAAGAAAACGTCGCTGACGATCAACCACGCGACCGAGGAGGACGACGCCACTTATGTTTGCAAAGCCACCAGCGAAATCGGATTGGCCACCACGAAAGCCAAATTGCACGTTACAGGTAATCTATTTTGTTCACATAATTTATATACATTGTATCCGATTATTTATATTACATTGACTGCATCAAGTGTTCTTTAATTATTAGACAGCCGAAGATTTTTATTATATATATTTTATTATACATATATTATTATTATATTATTATTACTATTTTATTATTATATATATATATATATTTCTAATTAATTCGATAAAAATATAAAATGTGAAGAACGCTTCCGTATAATTATTCTGTTCGTTCAACAGACATAACGGGTGAACCGAGGTACTACGAGGAGGAAGAAGAAGTCGTCGAGGAGGAAGTGAAAGAGGTTAAACCAAAAGAGAAGCCAAAGAGAAAGAGGACCGAGGTGAAGAAGGCTAAAGAAACGAAGGAGAAGATAAAATCCGAGCGTGTCAAGGTAGACAAGAAGGAAGTGCGCAAGGAGAAGTTGAGTCCCAAAGAACAACCGGAAGAAAAGTTAGCGAATTTGTTATTATTTAAACACGTTATTTAAGCATTCCGTTCGTAATTCACACGCTCATAAATCATTCTCGTAGGAAAATCGTCGACATCGAGGAGACGCAGGTGCTCGAGACAACCGAGATCATAGAAGAGAAGCCTACAGAGGTAAACTATTCAAAAGTTATTATTAATTAATAATAACTTGATCTCGATGTGAAAGAAAAGTGCCACAATCGCAGCTACCAATGATTTTCTCGCTGAACTAACCGTGATCACGCGTATGGAAAATAGCGTAATTTACAATTCTGTATTCTCGCAACGTTGCAAAACAACTTAAACGATGTAAAATGTTGAACAATTTATTTATATCTCGTTCCAAGGTCAATGTACGCGACAAAAATGCTGACAGTATACGACAGGAACGAAGGCGTCACTTCGAAGTGCTGTAACTTCGCGAGAAAAAATCGCAGGAAGATTTTCTTCTCCTCAAATTAAAGCGAAAGCATCGAACTTTCTTCCACCGAAAACGGGATCCCCGTGCAAAATTTTACAAAGTCTACGCATTTCGTCAAATTTCGCAATCTCAGATGCTCCGAAATTTACATATGGCTTCGCGTTTAATAATTTAAAAAGCGGCTAGGTTGCACCAAATGTAAGATCGAGAAACGGCATTTTAAAGTAGAGAATTCAAGCTTTCATTTAAAAAAAGAGCCATCGTCCTACGACGATTTGTCGCGAAGTTATCGCCGATCAAATCTACCGAATCGATGAATCTACATTCGTCGTTGTACGCAGGTATCGCGAGCCAAGAAGATAATGCCGGTGCAAGAGCCGGTGATGACGGAAGCGACGCCGTCCCTGAAGAAGATCGACGACCAGAAGCCTCGAGAACAGGTCCCGAAGCCCGAGGAGCGTGCGAAGCGGGTGGTGGAGGAGCGGGAAGGCGTGGTGGTGGTCTCGGAGGTGACCACCGAGGACCTGGCGCCGGACTTCGTGGTGGAATCGGTGGTGGACCGGGCCCAGGTGACCTCGGAGACTCTGCAGACGGTCTCGGTGTCGGAGGTGCACACGGAGAGCAGCGTGCAGGAGATCAGACGGCTGGAGGCGCGGCAGAGGAAGGCGAGGAAGACCGTGGTGACCGAGGAGGAGGTGTCGGAGGAGACGCCGCGAAAGGCAATCGTCGAGGAGAAGCCGAAGAAGAAGAAGAAGAAGGCGATCAGCATCGAGGAGATCGTTGAGAGGGAGCGGGAGAGCATCGCGCGCGAGGTCGAGGAGATCATGGAGACCTTGCACGCGAAGGAGTTCGGGCCCGGCGAGGCCCCGCTTCGAGAGCTGGCCACGATCGGGTTCCTGGTGCGGCAGGGTGTCTCCGTGAACGAGATCAACGAGAGCCTCTACAGGACGGACAACTTCCCGGCGCTGAAGACGCCGGAGGCGCAGAACGCGCTCGTCCAGCTGGTCGAGAGGGAGGGCCACGGCCCTCTGATCACCCAAGTGCTCACCGAGGAGACCACCACGGACGAAAGCGTCGTCGCGGCCACCGTCGGCTTCCGTGCCTTCATGAGAATGATCGAGCTACAGCACGTCACCGTCGAGGAGGTGATCACGCACTTCGCGCCGGAGGACTTCCGGCCGCGCGCCTGGGAGGTCACAGAAGCCACGGAAGTAAGATTTAGAGATCCGCACTTTCGGCGGAACGACTCGCTTTTCTTTGCCGTCCGCAAAATTTTCCACGATTTTGTTCGCTCTGCTACGTTCGACCATAGAATCGCCGTGTCCTGAACGCGACTCACAATTAACATTGCTCATAGTTGTCCTTTAACCTTTCCACGGCGGACATTTTCGAGCATTTGTGCCAGCCACAAATCCATTTAATCCATTCGAATCTTTACGATTCGATTATGTTGATCCTTTTGTTGGCTTTCAATATTAATTCGTTAAGCGTGCAGCTATTTTGCTGGACTTTTTGTTGAAGCGGCACGTCGGCATTACAGTAAATTCTCCCTAATTCGCGCTCAGATTGTGCAGAAAAATGGACAATTTGGGAAGAGGATTATTCGAGCCTTGCGGTTCGTTTATATAGTTCATAATTTTACATTTTTGTACACAATCTGAACGCGAATTAGGGAGAATTTACCGTATTTCTTACCTTGATACTGCCGGTCCCATACGCCGATGCCGCACAGTGCTTGGTTTCTGTAAAAAAAGTGGCAAAGAAACATGTAACAACTAAAATTGTACAGTAATGTCTCCCTTACTGACGCTCAGATTGTCCACTAAATTAGATAATTTGGGAAGAGGAGATACGATTTTTTTTAATCGTGGACAATATATAACTATAAAAATAAACCGCAACCTCCACTTCCCAAATTGTCCATTTTTGTGGTCAATCTGGGCGTCAATTAGAGAGACATTGCTGTATATCTAAGCGTTACTTTTTCATTTTATATGACTAGTATTCTTTTACTACTCTTCTACTTACTCTTGCAAACCTCCCTAATTTTAACTAACACGTAAACGAACGTTCACAATCCTCGGTTCGTCGTTTGAAATATCGAGTGTCCTAACTCTAAAATTTATTCTAAAATTTGAATAACACCAGAAACTTAAAGGAACGCCAGATTTTTATGTTAGATCTTGTAACAGCGAACATTGTTCGAAAATTGTTGTTCAGGCTTCCAAGATAAGAGTCGTCGTGAAAGAAATGATTCACTTCGCCGAATGTATCTTTATTTCGCTCGTAAACGCGTTTCATTTTTAGGTTGAAACGGCGGCACGTGTCACCGAACGAGTGGATATCGTCCGCAAGACCGAGGTCCATTTCATGGGTAAGTGGCGATCGCGTGCGGCGTTTGAAACGAAACGAAACGAAACGATCCAAGTATTAATGATCTTCGGATTTGCAGCATCACAAATCCGTTTGCAGTTTTTTTGTTTTCCTAGACGTTAAAAAAACCATAGATACTTTTAATGTTGGTGTGTGCTTGCGTGGCTGCCTTACGAACACAATTTTTTTTCTCTACGTTGTCCTAATAATATCTTTTTCTTTTTCCTGTTTTTTTCTTCTCTCTTCTCTCTATACTTATCTGTCTTGTAAATATATATACATATATACATCGATCGCTTTACAGCTAGACGTAAGCTCGACTAAGCATGCGTCACGATTTCTTTTTCTTTCTTTTGTTTCATGTAACCGTGTATGTTAATTATACGTAACGATGCGCCTGTACACATTTTCGAATCGAACGAATAAAGTGAATTATATTTTTTACGAGTTGCCATAATCGCCGCTCGTGCGTGCTGTTGCGTGTGTTGTTGTTTTTTATTATTATTATTATTATTATTACTCACATCCGAGTTCTGTTCTTCTGCATTGTTTCTCGTACTCCTCCCCCCAATTTCCCGAGGCTCCCACGAGAACAAACGATCTTTTGGTTGCAGAGAGGAGGGACGAAAGAAAAGCCGTCCGCACGCAGGATATTCGAGACATTAAAGGTTTGAAGCAACGAGTTTCAGTGCATGGGTTATACGTTCGAATGATCGGCCGTTCGTTTTGATTGGCGAACGGGTGAACAGCATTTTAATCGTCTTTTTTTTATTTCTTTACCGTTTACTCGAGAAAACGCACCGGTGTCCGGACAGTCGACACCGCATCAAGATCTTTTCTCACCTGCATTTCACAGTCACGATTTCTATTCGCTTTTATAATCCACTTGTGCATTCATAGATTCAGCATTCCATTCGATTAAGTATTCATTTTTCATACTTTCGCCGGACAGAGTGTACCACGACGGCAGGCGTGGATTTGAACGTGTACAAACGGCGTTCAAAAATATGAAATACAATTTGTTCGTATTAAAAATTTGCTATGCACGCGCGTAGAATTATTTCATTATTTCTTCGTCTGTTATTAATAATTTGTTGGATAATATTCAGTGAACTTGTTCGAACACATTCCTATAAATTCTCATAATTTTGATCTTATTTTGGGATAAAGATACTTTGTTTTTAAATATCTTACAATTGTTTTATATTATTTTATAGTTATTTAGCTAACTATCTTATTTATATTGCACGGCAAGATTAGTATAAAAATAGTGATCGCATCTCGCTATGATTCACTGTACCATATTGCGGAGAACGTTTAACGACAGTAGAAATACAGTAATGTCTCCACGATTGTCACAATTTTGCTGTGCCACGAGTGTCGCGGTGCTAGTGACTACGCCTATGTGATCTGTCGGCCACGTGATACGATTCGAAGGCAATTCGGAGGCCACGTGACAAGATTCAAGGGAAATTCAAAGGCCACATGACACTTGAAGGCAATTCGGAGGTCACGTGACACGATTCGAGGGAAATTCAGAGGCCACGTGATTTGATTCGAAGGCAATTCAGAGGCCATATGACACGATTCGAAAGCAATTTGGAGGCCACGTGACACGATTCGAAGGCAATTTGGTCACGAGACACGATACGGAGGCAATTCGAAGGCCACATGCCACTATTCCAAGGCAATTCGGAGGATACATGCCACGATTCCTGACTCACACCAAATCAGATCATTAGCATCCGTCGACTCTTATCATCGACGTAGCAACAAATTACATAGGCGTAGTATTAGCACAGTGAAATTCACAGCGACCCGAAATTTGGCATTTCCGGGAGAAATCATTGTAGAGAAATCAAAACCATATTTTACAAAAACATCGATATATAATCACCATCAAAAAATCTACATCAGATCTTTATTTGTCCTTATTTAATTCAGTCATTTAACAATTACATCACCGTCCTGGTACGCTTTCTATGATATTTAGATGTAATGATCATTGAAAAAGATTTAGGATAAGGTAATCTAAAGGGAACGTGAAATTCGTGGACACTAATTGTAAAACGCGTTGGTACGCGTGAAAATCGTTTGAAATTAACGAACAAAGAAAAAAAGAAGAGTAAACGTTTCTTTTAGATCGCCCTTGGTTTTTCGAAGCGATGCAAATGAAAATTTGGTAATGCCAACTTTTCGGATGCGAAATTTTGTGATCAATCAATAATCGACACCATCGAGCTCACGAACGTCGTTTCTAATTATCTCACGTCGATATTCTCATCTCATCTAATACGCTGAATTATAATAATAACCGGACGCGTGGCCCCGTTCGTAGCTTAAAATACGAATAATAACTAGTCGTGAAGTATGTTGTTACGCACCGATCGCACGATACGGTCTCTCTACGTAATGATTTGATTTTATTATTCTTTCAGATGCATGAAGCTTTACTTGATCGAATAATAAGCAGTAAAATATGTCTGCCTATGCCGCTATGCTTTCCACGCGCCGTATATATCCCGCCATAGTTAACATTCTTGTCAACCCTAACTCGATTTACGCCCAGTTAAAAAAAAAAGAAAAACCAAAAAAAAACAAAAAAGAAAAATCATAATATCCGTTCCCAACGACTCCAAAAACTTTCGACGCTTCGCGATACGAGCTTCGCGCTGCTAATACAGTGTTCGATGTAAGTAAGATACAGATCTGTGCCACGGTACATGTTTTTTTATTTCATTGGTGTTCCGTTGCGGATCGTGATCGATTTTTGTGTGATTGTATCGTACCGTTTCTTGGTTTTCCAGTTTTCTCCCGTTTCTTCTTTTTTCTTCTTCTTATTCTTCTTCTCTCCACGAACGTAGATCGCCTGGACGAAACTGTGAAATAATACGCGTGAAAATAGAAAACTGTTTGCTTGGATAAAATAGTCAGCCTAGAGAAAGATACATGTTTTAATGCAGAGTATCCCAATATTATTGCACGAGCGAGAGCAGAGAGGTTCCTGAGGTCATTTGAAGCAACTTTTTCCTTAATAAAAATGTTCTACGAGGCTTCGTTTACGACTTATTAACGAAAAACGACGACCAATGAGAGGCGAGCGCGGCTGACGCCCCTCCCTCGCGGCCGCTGCGCCAGGCGGACGGCGTGACGCGTCATTGACCGCGAGAGCGGAGCGCCGGCCGCGCTCGCTCTCCGATTGGTCGCCGCTTAGACCGCTCGTTGGCCGCCTAGCGCCAGGCCAGCTCGTCTCTCATTGGTCAACGTTTTTCATTAATAACTCGTCAAACGAAGCCACGAATTGCACTTTCGCCGAGGAAAAAGTTACTTGAAACCCCTAATTTCCTGCTTGTATAATAATTTCAGCACACCCTGTATAATTCGTGTTTATAATTGAATCGTAATTCGTACAGCGTTATTTAGTTGTCACAAGGACAATGTTTCTCGCATACTTTCTTACGAACGCGGTGTTTTATTTCACGGTTTCGAATGTAATTTTCTGGCGATGCGCAGAGAACAGTCAACCGTTTTACATTTGCAATATATGTACTTGTTACTGTTACACATTCAAGTTACACACTCTCACATGAATTTTTCCGTACAACAATATGTTAGCCCTCCCCCCTACATGCGAGAAACAACACGAACGAGAGATTGTCATGCGTTTCGTTCGTCCTTTCGTTTCATATTCTGTTTTTTTTATTTCCTTCTTTTTCTTACGTTTTTTCTTTCACTTTTTGTTTTCTGCTGTTGGTAGTTGGCACGATGTGTAACAGACAAGCATCTCTTATTTTTGTGTTCATGTTGGTTTGACTTCTGGCCGGCCTCTACTATTTCTTTCTATTACTACACTGATACTCGCACACTCACCCACCTCTTATTTAAAAAAAAAAAACACTACGAATGCCCTAGTGCCTGCACTCAGCTACACTGCACACTACTCTGTACCGCAACAAACATTCCAGAGACATCGTAGTTCCGCCGTGATATTATATATTTAACAGCGGTTCGATTTTTCCGTACGTTCCGAAACTCGCACGATTCAATCGATTGTACGCCGTCGATATTGACCCAAAACGAGACCAGTCGTTTCACCGAATCGTCACTCGGACGCAGGTAAACTTGTCTCTTAGTTTTCTTTGACTGAAGGGTAAATTGTACATTCGTGTGAAAACGAGACGTTTTTCTTTGTTTTTAATTATACAATTTAGGGGACTTTTTGGAAGTTCATATTTTTATAGAACGTTTCCGAGGAAAATGGGAATCATTGAACGGTTATTTTTTACTCAAATAGCTTCATTCTGTTTAAAATATGTACATATCGTTTTATTAGTAATTATTAGAATGTTTCAGAGAGAAATTGTTTTCTTAGAAATTATTAGATAGAAATTATTTCAGATAGAAATCGTTTTCTTAAAAATTATTATAATGTTTCAAATAGAAATCGTTTTGTTAGAAATTATTAAAATGTACAAAACACAAATCGTTATGTTCGAAATTATTAAAACATTCGAAACACAAATCGTTTTATTAGAGATTATTAAAATATTTCAAATACAAATCGTTTTGTTAAAGATTATTAAAATATCTTGTTACGTCACAGTAATACCAGTTAGAATACATTAGCAAATGACTGTATCGACTGCGTTTCTAGTAACCGAATATCCGAACTGAAGTTAATTTAAAAATAAATCGTAGATACTTTTAACAATCGAATATCTTTACGTATGAAACGATTAGAGAAATAGACGAAATTTCCATCGAAAATCGAATCGATCCAGTTCACGTCTCCCGTTTGTCTTGAAAAGGTTAATATTTATTACCAGCAGCACTGAGAACGGATCGTTGAATAAGTTCCACGCGACTTACGATAAATTCTCTCCAATTGTCTCTCAGCTTGCAAGCAAAGCTGGACAATTTGGGAAGAGGAGATACGATTGTTCGAGCCTCGCGGTTCGTTGTATATAGAGCTGTCTCTTATACACATCTAGATGTGTATAAGAGACAGCTCCAATTGTCTCTCAGCTTGCAAGCAAAGCTGGACAATTTGGGAAGAGGAGATACGATTGTTCGAGCCTCGCGGTTCGTTGTATATAGAGTGTCCCGTAATTATGGCACTTTCGGAAAACGAGGGGTTCCCAAGGTCATTCGAAGCAACTGTTTCCTCAGCGAAAATGCGATTCGCGGCTACGTTTACGAGTCATTAACGAAGACCAGTGACCAATGGAAGGCAAGCTCGGCTGACGCGCGCCGTCCGAGCCGCCGAGTGGACGGCGCCCGGCTCCGCGCATTGGCTCGGCCGTCGCGCGCCAGCCGAGCCAATCAGCGGAACCGGGCCTTGCGTCAGCCGCGCTCGTCTCTCATTGGTCAAGCGTTTTTCGTTAGTAACTCGTAAACGAAGCCGCGGATCGCAATTTCGCTAAGGAAAAAGTTACTTCGAATCGCCTCTTCTTACCAGCTGTTGACATAATTATGGTATATTCTGTATAGGAATCGTATCTTTTTCTCCCAAATCGCCAACTTTCGTTTCCAAGCTTTTCCGTTTCCAAATTGGGGAAAAAATTGACTCTATCACCGAATCGAAAATTCTAAAAGACCGTCGCGATGGGACCAGTTCAACAACAACAGATCCGAACGAAAACACGATACCTTTGGAAGCCGCGAGAAACTACTATCGATACCGAAACCACGCTGATCACACTACTGCGTCCGCTGCCAAAACATACACACACATTTTCTTTCCTTTTTTTGTTTCTGTCTCGCACGCCGCCCGTCTTCATTCCGTCCGTACAAATTAATCCGAGCACCACTTCTATTTCAACAAGCTGGTCCCGGCGTGCGCCGTGCTGTCCGTAGAGGAGTTTTCTTTTTCTTTTTCCTTTTTTTCCCGTTGACACTTTGTTACACGTTGTTGAAAGCACGATTATTGTTCTTAGCCAAAAAAAACACAGCATCCGCTCGAGAATGGTTCGTCGCATGTCGCAAGTCTCGTTTACTTTTGTCTAAAGAAAAACAAACAAAAAAAACAAAAAAATAAAATAAAAAAACAGCGAATGGTTTTCTTTCCTTTCTTCGATCTTATCTCTAATAGCGATACGTGCGAGCGAAAGAGCGAGCGACTGAGAGAGAGAGCGAGAACGTTGGCTGAGGAAGAGAGAGAGAGAGAGAGAGAGAGAGAGAGAGAGAAAGAGTTTAGAACAGAGAGCACACCCCGCACGCGTCTGATTGACACGAATATTCTCACATACTTTCCACAGAATACGAGGACACACGGCAGATACACACAACACCGCGCAAACGAAAAGATACAATACCAACGGAACAGATCGAGGCGAGAAAGGAAGATAGGGAAGAGGGGGTACAGGTTGTAGTGGTCGAGGAGATCGAGGAAACGGAACGGGAGAAGAGGAAGCGAAAGGACGTGGAGGAGCTCGAGGAAGAGATAACAGAGACCGTAATCGTAGAAACGGACGAACAGGGTAGACTGACTCGGAAGCCGAAGAAACGCGGCGAGAAGCAAATAGAAATCATAGAACAAGAAGCAAAAGAACAAGTAGTAAAAGAACAAGAAAAAGAAGAAGAAGAAATAATAGAAGAAGAAGAGATCACAGAGAGGCGAAGAAAGCAGCTAAGGCCGAAGCGGCCGCAAATCGGTCGCGCCGAGGTCGAGCTCGAGGAGCTCGAAGAGCTTGAAGTAAAAGGCGACGAGGTCGTGTCCTCGGTGATGCTGAACGTGCCGATCCAGCGTCACCAGGTGGTGGCGATGGACCGTGCGATCGACCAGGCGCCGGGCAAGCCTGAGTTCGAGAAGGCGAAGCTGACGATGGACACCATCACACCCTTAACAGAACAATTAATACCCGTCCAAGAGAAAGAGATCGACGAGATCAGCGTGATAAAACCGATCGAGCGCAAAGCGTCTTTATCGATCTCCCCAGTGGAGCCATACTCGACGACGGAGACGACGGTGCAGGCGTCGACGGGCGAGTTCGCGGACACGTTCAAGCCGACGTCGTACGAGGCGACGCCAGCCATAGTCCCGTCGGAGGGTCTATTAATCAGCGAGACCTTGGCGAGCGACGCGGAGGTCTCGAGCTTAACGCTCGTTAAACAGGAGCTCGGCAGGAAAGCGGAAGTGACGGTAACCTTGCAAGAGGCCGCGACGGTCTACGAGACCATGGTGAGCCAGACGGAGGTGCCGACGGAGGACTTCGTGGCGCCTTTGGCCGCCGAAGCGGAGGACACGGTGCTCGCTCAGATCGGGCTCTCGGTGTACGAGGTGCAGGAAGGCCTGTCCGAGGACAAGCTAGAGCCCCTGAAGACGGTGCCAGCGCGGCCTAGAGTGAACGTGACGGCGATGGAGCCGCTGCAGGTGGAGGAAGTGCGGCCGGAGGACAAGCCTGGTAAATATTACCCGGAGCTGATCGTGCCGACAGAGATCGCGACGCAGAGCGTAATCTCGCAAAGACAGCGTGTTACTGAAGAGATGCACGCGCCGGAGAAAGAAGGCGAGTACGTGCCAGGAAGACTTCCGCCTAGCCAGAAGGCGCAGGTGGGCATCAGCTACGGGAACGAGGCTGCGGTGATCGAGCAGAGTCTGGTGCAGGAGAGCGAGGGAGTGTACGTGACGGAGAGGAGGGTGGACGCTTTCGAGGCGGTGGCGAACGTGACGTTGCTGGAGGGCGTGTCCGTGTTGACGGTGCAGCCGCAGGACACGGAGACCGCCTTGACGATAGAGGAAGCTAAAAAAGCGGAAGCCGATCTTAATATTATCGAGGTAGCATCGGCGATCACTATAGAAACCGTCTCGTCCGAAAAGGAAACGGACTACCAACCTGGCGACAAGCCGGCTGCGAAGACGGCGCAGACGTCGGTGTCCTCTTTGGAGATCGGCTCAGTCTCGAGCACCCTGGTGCAAGAGTCCGAGGGAGTCTATCAACCTTCGCAGAAACCGACGAAGGTCTTAGCCGAGACGACGATCCGTCCGGAGGAGCACGTGACGGTGTCCGAGGTGCACACGGCGGACTATCCGGCGGACCTGAAGGACGAGCTGAAGTACGTGGAGGAAAGCGGCACGGTGACGGTGCAGCTGACCGAGGCGAAGGTAATCGAGGAGACGCTGGCGCACGATAGGGAGACCAGCATGGAGGAGGCGGCGAGGCCGGAGGAGCGGGTTGTGGAGACCAGCTACGACGGGATCAGAAGCGTGGAGGTCTTCCAGACAACGTCGGTCGAGAAGGAAGCCGAGTTGCGAATCTTCGAGATGCCGGAGTCGCATCGCGGCAGAACGGTCCCGACGCACCCTGTGGTCTCGCTGGAAGTCGAGATGACTCAGCCGGAGGACAACTTGGGCGAGGTGTTGAAGGACGCGCCGACCTCCGGGCTGGCCATGGTCGTGCCGATCGGCCTGCAGGAGACCGTGGTGGCCGAGACGGTGGCGGCCGAAGACTTGGCTTTGGTTACAAAGGAAGAGGCGCCAGAGTCGAAAATAGCTGAAGTGACTCTGGACGAGATAGAGAGCGTGCGGACGACCATGGTGATCGCCGGGGAGACGGAGTCGGAGTACCTGAAGTCGGAGGTGAAGGGAGCCTACGCGAGCACGGAGTTCACGACGCAGGTGGCGCCAGTGTTCGAAGAGGTGCGGACTCACTCGCCGACCGGGGAATACGTCCCTGAAGAGAAACCGGCTTCCGGCGTGGCGCAGCCGAGCCACGTGCCCTTGGAGAGCGTCACGGTGGTCTTGCAGGAGGCCGCCGAGAAGGAAGATCTCTACCGAATCGACGCGAGACCCGACGGCAAGACGGCGATGGTGGAGCTGACAGAAGCAAGGCCCGGCGCCACGGTGCTCGAGGTGATCCCCCACGACCGGGAGAACGTCTACAGCCCTGACGAGAAGCCTCAGGACTACAAGGCGCAGCCTCTGGTATCGGGGCACACGGTGGCCTTGAAATCCGAGACGCTGGTGACACAGAGCACCGGCGAGATCGCCGCGGAGCAGCCGAAGCCAGGAACGGCGGTGCTTCAACGGGACACCATGGAGCAGCTGATCGTGACGGAGACGACCGTCGCGGAGACGGAGAGGGTCAGAGAAGAAGAAACGAGACCTGCCGAGCAGAGCGCCGATGTGGAGATCTGTTCGAAATCAGAGAAACTGACGGTGACCGAGGTGACGGCCGCGGTGAGCGAGGAAAGGCTGAAGATCGAAGAACTGCCGAAGGAAAGACGAGTCACGATGGGGATCACGGGAAGTCACGAGGTCGCCGAGATGCAGGAGACGGTTGCGGCTAGCAACGTGGATCTTCTGAAGGAGGAAAAGGCGAAGGAGGAGCGCGCGAGTGAACAGCAGAGCGGATTGGAGGTGGTCGAGCAGACCGAGGTCTCGGTGTCGGAGAAGGAGTCCTTGCTGCAGGAGGACGTGAAGCCGGAGACGAAGATCGTAGAGGTGGTGTTCGAGATGGGCGAAGGTGTTGTCGTCGGGATCACTTACCCCGAAGACAAGGAAGCCGTGTTCACCGGAAAAGAGAAACCAAAAGGCGTCGAGGCGACTGTGGAGATCATCGCGCAAGCGGTCGCGTCCAAGTTCGAAGTGACCAGCGACACCGGTCTGAGTGAACTGATCAGCGACGCGGTACCTGAGACCAAGCCGAAGACCACGGTGATGCCGATCGAGGCCTTGATCTCCGAGGAGGTGCAGACCAGGGAGACGGAGGCGCCGTTCGCGGAGGAGAAGCCCGCCGACAGGACGGCGAACCTCGAGTTCGTCACCGGCGAAGGTCTCATCGTCTCTTCTGTAACAGCCGAGGACAAGGAGGCCGTCCTTCCCGAAGCGGAAAAACCGGAGACCAAGCTGGCAACCTTGGACGTGCCGACGAGGGTCGTGGCCGAGGTCAGCGAGACGACGGCCACCGACAACGTCGACGAGTTCGCGCAACCGGAAACGACCTCCGCGACCGCGACCGCCGATCACGTCGCGTTCCACAGCATGATCACCACGGAGACAGCGGCCGGCGACCTTGAAAAACCGATGGAAGACTTCGTGCAGCCGGATCGCAAGGTCGTCGACGTGACCTTCGAGGATGGCGAGGGGGTGACGGTGACGGAGACGATCGTTTCCGACAAGGAGAAGGAGTACATCGAGAGGCTGGAGATGCGAGGGGAGCAGGCGACGCCGGCGTTCGACGCGCACAAGGTCGCGCAGCTGACGGAGGTCACGGCGGCCGCAGCGCCCGGCGAGCTGAGGGTGCCGACACCCTCCGCGGCCGCTGCCAGGGAGGAGAGGTTGCCGTTCGAGAGCCTCGTGCAGACCGAGACGATCGTGTCCGAGACTGAGCAAGAATTCAAGGACAAGGCCGTCGAGACCACCAAGGCCGAGGTCTCCGTCAGCGAGATAATCAGCGCGACGACCATCGCCGAGGTCACGGCGGACAAGGAGGACGTGCTGCGCATTCCAGAAAAGCCTGCCGAGAAGCAGGCGAGCGTCCAGTTCGCTGGCCACGTGATCGCGGAGCAGACAGAGGTCACCGTGGACGCCAGCGCTGGCAAACTCGAAGACCTGAAGCCGGTCGCAGCCTCGGCGATTCCGTCGAGCATCCCCTTGGAGGCGGTGATCAGCTCGGAGACGCAGCCCACGGAGGCCGAAGGCCTTCTAGACAAAGACAAGATACCGACGCAGGCTCTGGCGGACTTGACCTTGGTTGAGGATCGAAGCATCCAGGTGTCCGCGGTGGTTTCCGGCGACAAAGAAGAAGAGTACATAACGAAAGAGCTACCGGAGACGAAGACTGCCGACAAGAGCCTGGTCGGCGGCCACGCGGTCGCGCAGACGACGCTGCAGGTGCTCGACTTCAGCACAGGGGACCTGATCGAGGAGAGACCCTCCGAGGCCACCGCTCTTGAAGAGCACATCCCGTTCGTGCCATTGATCGAGTCTCAGCCGGTCATCCAGGAAAGCGAGGAGAAGTTCGTGCCGGGCGCGATCCCGGAGAACAAACGAGCCGTGGTGGACCTTGAAGAGGGTAGGAGCATCGTGACGGTGTCCCAGGTGACCCCCGCAGACAAAGAATCTCTGTATGTTGCCGAAGAAGCGCCGTCGAAGCACGCGGCCACCGTCGGCCTGGACGCCGCGCGCGGCATCGCCGAAACGACTGCGGTCGCCGTCGAAGACGCTCTCGCCGAGGTCACCTTCGATAAACCGGACCAGAAAAAGGCGCAGACGACGCAGGAGGTGTACCAAAGCATCCTCGTGACCCAGGACATCGTGCAGGACCAGGAGAACGCGTTCGAAGGGAAGTTCAAGCCGGCGGTGCAGCAAGTAGACATCAGCATCGAGGAAGGAAAACGCGTGACCACGGTGACAGAGGTCAGCTTAGCGGACAGAGAGGACATCCTGAAGACCGTTCAAGAAGAGAAGACCCGATCAGCGGTGCCAAGCGTGGTTGCGGGTCACGAGGTGGCGGAGAGGTCGGAGATCGTGGCGGAGCAGAGCACCGGCGAGATGGAGATCCTGAAGCCGGCCACGGCGACGGCGCAGGTGGGCCGCAAGCCTTTCGAGCCTGTTGAGACAATGGAGCAGGTTCTAGCGGAGAAGGAAGTGGACAAGGTCGAGGCCCCAGCGGCGCAGAAGAGCAGCGCCAGGGTGACGTTCGACGAGAACCGGTTCGTCGCGATCACGGAGGCCACGGCGACTCAGGACGCCGAGTCGGCGCTGTCGGAGCTGAAGAGGCCCCGCGAGGAGCTAGCGAAGCCTTCGATGGAAGGCAAGGAGGTCGCCGAGCAGATGGAAGTGACCTTGAGAGAGGGCCTTGGAGAGGTATCTGAATTACTTAAGCCGGGCGCCGTCGAGGCGCGTCCGACGCAGAGCACGCTGGAGAGCGTCGACGTCAGCGAGACGGTTGCTGAAGAACGCGAGACGGTCTTCGAGGAGAAGCTGAAGGTGGACGAGCGGAGCGCGACCGTGGCGTTCGTCGAGGGCAAGAGCATCACGGTGGCCCAGGTGATCATCCAAGACAAAGAGTCCACGATGGAGACCTTGACGAGACGCGACGAGACCAAGGCCGAGGTGAGCCTGACCAAGGTCGGCATGGACGTCGCGCAGAAGGTGCAGGTGTTCGTTGAGCAGAGCACGGGGCTGGTCCAGCCGCTGGAGAAGCATGAGGCGAAGGCGCAGCCGACGCAGGACGCGTTGCAGCCGATCGTCGTCGAGGAGACACCCAGCGCGGAGAGCGAGGGCACCCTGGACAGGCGCCCGAAGCCGGCCACGTCCACCGCGGTGGCGACCTTCGAAGAAGGTCACGGGGTCTCAGTGACGGAGGTGACCTCTGCCGAGGTCGAATCAGCGCTGAAAGAAAAGAAACTAGACGCCTCTCACACAGCCACGAGGACCATAATCGCCGAGCGGAGTATCATCGAGACGACGACGGTCGAGTCGCAGGTTAACGTCCCCGACAAGACCGAGGACCTCGCCGTGACCCCGCAGGTGGCGGTTCCAGGTCAGGACACCTTCGAGAGTATAATCGTGAACGAGAGCTTGGTAGAAGAAAGCGAGCAGAGCTTCGAAGGCGCGTTCAAGCCGCAGACGCAGAGAGCGGACGTGGACATCGAGAAGGTCAAATCTCTTCAGGTCTCGGAGACGGTTCCTGAGGACAGAGAGGCGGTGTTCGACGTCGCTCCGAAACGCGAAGGCGTCACAGCCACTCAAGACATCAGCCTTCTTGAAACGATCTTGGGCTCGATGATAGAAAGCGTCCAATCGACAGAAGAGATTCGCGAGGAGAAGCAGACGAGCACTCAGGCGACGGTCACGCAGACGCTGATCGAGACGGCGGTGAAGACCGAGACGACGCTCGGCGAGCGTGAAGAGACGTTCTCAGGGCAGTTCAAACCCGAAGAGCAGAAGGGTAAGCCGCAGTTCGAGGGGCTGAGCACGGTGACGGTGACCGAGGTGGTCTCCAGCGAGGTCGAGGACGTCCTTCCGACGGAAGTCGCGCCTAAAATGCAGCAAGCGCAGCCTAGCCTGACCGGCAGGGAGGCTCCTGAAGTGCTCCAGGTGATCACTGGAGCGACCACAGAGATCCTAGAAAAGGCGACGAAGCTTAAGGAACAACAGGGCATTGTTGAAATAGAAGAGCTCTCTTCCGTCGCGGTCAGCGAGGTGATCTCGAGCGAGGTCGAGGATATCCTTCCAACAGAAGCCGCGCCTAAAATGCAGCAAGCGCAGCCAAGCCTGACTGGAAGAGAAGTTCCTGAAGTGCTCCAGGTGATCACTGGAGCGACCACAGAGATCCTAGAAAAGGCGACGGAGCTTAAGGAACAACAAGGCATCGTAGAAATAGAGGAGCTCTCTTCCGTCGCGGTCAGCGAGGTGATCTCGAGCGAGGTCGAGGACGTCCTCCCAACAGACGTGGCGCCCAAGATGCGGCAAGCGCAGCCAAGCCTGACTGGAAGAGAAGTTCCTGAAGTGCTCCAGGTGATCACTGGAGCGACCACAGAGATCCTAGAAAAGGCGACGAAGCTTAAGGAACAACAGGGCATTGTGGAAATAGAAGAGCTCTCTTCTGTCGCGGTCAGCGAGGTGATCTCCAGCGAGGCGGAGGACGTGCTCGCGCTAGCGACCGCGCCGAAAGATCAAAAAGCAGACTTCAACATCCTCGGCAGAGAGGTCGCCGAGACGACGCAAGTGACGGCTGTCACAGAAACAGAGGATCTGTCCTTGAAGCAGCCGGACGAGCAGAGAGGAAAGCCGACGGTGGACGAGCTGACGCCGTTGATGGTGTCGCACGTGGTGTCCGGCGAACTTGAAGAAGCGATGCCGGCTCCCGAAGTCCCCAAAGAGAAGACCGCTCAGCCTAGCCTGCTCGGCAGAGACGTTGCGGAGACGATGCAGGTGTTGACAGTAGCCAGCGCGGAGGATCTTGTCGCAGCGCCGGCTCCTGAAGAACAAAAAGGCAAGCCTCAGGTAGAAGAACTAGCTCCATTGACGGTCTCGCAAGTGGTGTCCCAGGAGGCGGAGGACCTGCTGCCGACGCCCGAGGTGCCTGTGCAGAGAGAGGCCCAACCCAACCTGATCGGCAGGGACGTGGCGCAGACGTTGGAGGTGTTGACCATGAGCAACGTCGACATCCTATCCGCAATAACGAAACCGGGAGAACAAAGAGGTGTGCCGGGTCTTGAGGAGCTGGTGTCCCTATCCGTGTCGCAGACGGTGTCCACTGAGATGGAGGACGTGCTGCTGAGTCCGGAGGTGCCGACGGAGAAGCTGGCGCAGCCGAGCCTGATCGGCCACGACGTGGCGGAGACGACGCAGGTGTTGACGATGATCAGCGCGCAGGAGCTGGCCGCGTCGAAGGCGCCCGAACAACAGAAAGGAAAGCCGAGCGTCGAGGAGTTGACATCGTTGACGGTCTCGCAGACGCTGTCGCACGAGACCGAGGCGCTCCTGGAGAGCGAAGCTGCGCCGAGCGGAGTGATGGCGAAGCCGGCGTTGACGGGCAGAGAGGTTGCTGAAACCAGCCAGGTGCTAACCGTGAGCAATGTAGAAGAGCTGGAGAAGCCGGCGCTGCCTGAAGAGCAGACAGGAAAGCCGAGGCTGGACGAGCTGGCGTCGTTGACGGTGTCCCAGGTGATCTCGAGCGAGCTTGAAGACGCGCTGCCAGTGGCAGAAAAGCCCACGGAGAAGATCGCGCAGGCCCAGATGAGCGGCAGAGAGGTTGCTGAAAAGACCGAAGTGTTAACCGTGAGCAATGTAGAAGAGCTGGAGAAGCCGGCGCTGCCTGAAGAGCAGACTGGAAAGCCGAGAGTGGACGAGCTGGAGTCGTTGATGGTGTCCCAGGTGATCTCGAGCGAGCTTGAAGACGCGCTTCCGGCGCCGGAGAGGCCCGCGGAGAAGATCGCGAAGCCGGCGTTGATCGGCCGAGAGGTCGCCGAGAAGACCGAGGTGCTCACCGTGAGCAATGTAGAAGAGCTGGAGAAGCCGGAGGTGCCGGAGAGCCAGAAGGGCAAGCCGGACGTTGAAGAGATGAGCTTCGTGACGGTGTCCGAGGTGGTCTCCACCGAGAAGGAGAAGGAGATGCCGGCGCCGGAGGCTCCGAAGGAGCGCAAGGCGCTCGCAAAGCTGGACAGCATTGAAGTAGCGGAGACGAGCGAGGTGCTGACGATGGCCAGCGCCGAGGAGCTGCCGAGACCTAAAGGGCCCGAGGAGCAGAAGGGCAAGCCGCAGCTGGAGGAGCTGTTGCCTCTGTCGATCTCTGAAGTCGCTTACAGCGAGGCGGAAGTTGGTCTAACGACGCCGGACGAACCGACGGCGCAGACTGCGAAGCCGAGTCTTCTGGGCATACAAGTGGCCCAGAAGTCGCTGGTGATACCGTCCTCGGCCACGGAGGAGCTCGGCGAGGCCGAGAAGCCCGAGAGCAAGCGGATCCTGCCGGAACAAATCCCGTTCGAGAGCATTGAACAATCGCAGACGTTGGCGCAGGAGCGGGAAGGCACGCTCGTCGTCGAGAAGACTAGCAAAACGGCGACCGCCGAGGTCACGTTCCGCGTGTCGGAGGGCCTCGAGGTCACGCAGGTGACCGCGACCGAGCAGGAAGCCAAGGAAGTGGTGAAAGGCGTGGCGAAAGAGGCGGCCGCGCAGCCGGATGTGATCCGAAGGGAGGTCGCTCTGAAGACCGAGGTTCAGCCCGAGGACGCGGCCACCGAGTTCGAGGTGACCAGGCCGGAAGGCAAGACCGCGAAAGGCGTCGCCGAGCTGCGGCAAGGCGTGATCGTCACCGAGCCAATGGCCGCCGGTGAGCTCGAGTCAGATCTACCCGAGTCCGTGATTCCTTTCGCGAAGTTAGTGAACGTTTCGATCGTAGCCGAGCACCTGGAACACGTTGCTGGTGAGTATTTCTTGATATCAAGGTATAAGATTCGCGCGGACCGGACGGACGGTGACGACGGCGACGACCGTGTTAGGGGACCAGGAGAACGGAGGACGTCGTTGCACGACGAATGTTCGATCGACGTCGAAATATGTACTCGAATTTCTCGGACGCTGCGCGAGACGCGCGCGTGTCTCTCTCTCACTGTGTGTTCGTCGACGATCCAATGGTGTCGATCCGCGTTGGATGTTTAGGGACGATCGTCGATCCGAGTTTTTAGGATAGGTGCGACGACGAGGTAAACAAAGGTTATGTTAAGGTAGGTATTATTATTGCGACACACGGTTATTGCCGTCAGTTAACACACGGCCGCCCATTATACAGCAACAGGATATCTCTCCATAACACACTCTCACAAAGAAGACACACAAAACAGAACATTTAACATATTTGTATTTTCAAACAAACGAACATTCTTTTTCCAAAATGGATTTTCTCTGTTACGATGATCAGATTCAAGGAGTTTAATCGATGATCGGGATTATGGTCGACGTGTTGGGGGAGGGGGGAGACGATCACGCGTGATCGGGTCCCCCGCCCGGTTTCGATCGAGAAGTCAAACCAAAGATAAAAGAGAGAAAAAAAGAAAAGCAAGCAAGCAAGCAAACAAGAAACGAAAAGCAACATACAGAGTGTCCTAAAATTGTTGTATTTCCGGGAAGCGAGGGGTTCGTGAGTTTATTTGAAGCAACTTCTTCCTCGGCGAAAATGTTCTGCGAGGCTTCGTTTATGAGTCATCGACGAGAAACGGTGACCAATGGGAGGCGAGAGCTCGGCTGCCGCGAGGCGGCGCAGCCAACGAGCGCGCGAAGCGGCGACCATTCGGAGCAAGGACGGCGCGACGCAGCATTGGCCGCGTGAGCGGAGCGCCGGCCGCGATCGCTCTGCGATTGGTCGCCGCTTCGCGCGCTCTTTGGCCCGGCCGGGCTCGCTCCACATTGGTCGCCGCTTTTTCGTCGTTAACTCATGAACGACGCCTCGGAGAAGATTTTTGTAAAGGAGAAAGTTGCTTCGAACGATCTCAGGAACTCCTTATTTCCCGGAAATACCATAATTTTAGGACACCCTGTATACGGACATCGAGGCACCGGACACTTTGTTAATCATGTCACACCTGTTCTGTATACATTTCAGAAACCACAGAAGCACCAGCCGAACAACATCACATCACAATCACACCACAATACACACCAACAACAACAACAATAACAAAACACGATACGCCACAGCAACAAACGATCGAATCGGACACAGAGGTGACCGAGGAGTACACTACGAAATTCAGGCGCGGTAGTAGGGACGACGAGACAGCGGCGATCAAGACCAAGAAAACGATCATCAGAAAACGAAAGACCGGCAAAGTGGCCGAGGAAGACAATGTCGTCGTCATCGAGGAAGAACTAGAAGACGTGAAGCCGACGGTGCCGGAGATACCGAAGAAGCAATTTATGCCGATCGAAGAGGTGATCGCGGCCTCCTCGGACGTCGAAGAGATCGCGCCGACGATAATCGAGGAGGTCGAGGAAACGACGCCGAAAATCGAGGAGGCTGAAGAGGTGAGAAAGGTGACCAAGAAGAAGGTCATCCGAAAGCGGGGCAAAGCGCAAGCGACCGAAGAGACCACCGAAGAGGAGGTCGAAGAAGAAAAGGTACCTGAAGAGTTCGTTGAGCCGATTGCTCCGATCGAGTATGTCAAGCCTAAGCAAGTGGAGCAAGTTGAAGAGCAAGTGACCGTGACGGAAGAGACGACCAAGGAGGGCAAACCGAGAAAGACGACCAGGAAGAAGGTGATCACGCGGAAAGGAAAGGAACAGCAGGTCACCGAGGTCGTCACGGTGGAGGAGCAAGGGAAGCGACCGGTTACCAGTGTTACTGAAGGACCTGTCGAAGAGGTAGTGGAGGAGTTCGTGAAACTGATGCCGAAGCCGAAATATGCGAAACCTTCTGAAGTTGAGGAAGTAAGGGAACAGGTGACTGTTACCGAAGAAGTGACCAGAGAAGGTAAGCCGAAGAAGATTATAAAGAAGAAGGTCATCAGACGCAAAGGAAAAGAACAGCAGGTGACTGAAGAGGTCACTGTCGAAGAGCAAGGAAAGGCACCGGTGACAAGTATAACAGAAGGACCAGTTGAAGAAGTTGTTGAAGAGTTTGTAAAAGAATTACCAAAGCCTAAATACGCCAAGCCATCTGAAGTTGAAGAAGTAAGAGAACAGGTGACTGTTACCGAAGAAGTGACTAGAGAAGGTAAACCCAAGAAGATCATAAAGAAGAAGGTAATCAGGCGCAAAGGAAAAGAACAACAAGTTACTGAAGAAGTCACTGTTGAAGAGCAAGGGAAGGCACCGGTGACAAGTATAACAGAAGGACCAGTTGAAGAAGTTGTTGAAGAGTTTGTAAAAGAATTACCAAAGCCTAAATACGCCAAGCCATCTGAAGTTGAAGAAGTAAGAGAACAGGTGACTGTTACCGAAGAAGTGACTAGAGAAGGTAAACCCAAGAAGATCATAAAGAAGAAGGTAATCAGGCGCAAAGGAAAAGAACAACAAGTTACTGAAGAAGTCACTGTTGAAGAGCAAGGGAAGGCACCGGTGACAAGTATAACAGAAGGACCAGTTGAAGAAGTTGTTGAAGAGTTTGTAAAAGAATTACCAAAGCCTAAATACGCCAAGCCATCTGAAGTTGAAGAAGTAAGAGAACAGGTGACTGTTACCGAAGAAGTGACTAGAGAAGGTAAACCCAAGAAGATCATAAAGAAGAAGGTAATCAGGCGCAAAGGAAAAGAACAGCAGGTGACTGAAGAGGTCACTGTTGAAGAGCAAGGGAAGGCACCGGTGACAAGTATAACAGAAGGACCAGTTGAAGAAGTAGTCGAAGAGTTCGTAAAAGTATTGCCAAAGCCAAAATACGCGAAACCATCCGAAGTTGAAGAAGTCCGAGAACAAGTGACTGTTACCGAAGAAGTGACCAGAGAAGGTAAACCGAAGAAAATCATAAAGAAGAAGGTAATAAGACGCAAAGGAAAAGAACAGCAAGTGACTGAAGAAGTCACAGTTGAAGAAAAAGGCAAAGCTCCTGTCACCACAGTGACGGAAGGACCTGTCGAAGAAGTAGTCGAAGAGTTCGTGAAACCGACTCCGATGTTGGAGTTCTTAACACCATCAGAAACCGAAGAAGTTCGCGAACAGGTTACCGTTACTGAAGAAGTGACCAAGGAAGGTAAACCGAAGAAGATCACGAAGAAGAAGGTAATAAAACGCAAGGGTAAAGAACAGCAAGTGACCGAAGAAGTCACGGTTGAAGAACAAGGAAAAGCACCAGTGACTAGCATAACAGAAGGACCAGTAGAAGAAGTAGTCGAAGAGTTCGTGAAAGAATTACCAAAGCCAAAATACGCGAAGCCATCTGAAGTTGAAGAAGTTAGAGAACAAGTGACTGTTACCGAAGAAGTAACGAGAGAAGGAAAACCCAAAAAGATCACGAAGAAGAAGGTAATCAGACGCAAAGGAAAAGAGCAACAAGTGACCGAAGAAGTCACCGTCGAAGAGCAAGGAAAAGCTCCAGTGACCAGCATAACAGAAGGACCAGTTGAAGAAGTAGTCGAAGAGATCATCACACCTTTGCCCAGACCAAAATACGCGAAACCTTCCGAAGTTGAAGAAGTCCAGGAGCAAGTAACCGTCACCGAAGAAGTGACCAAAGAAGGAAAACCTAAGAAGATCACGAAGAAGAAGGTAATAAAACGCAAAGGAAAAGAACAGCAAGTCACCGAAGAAGTGACAGTAGAAGAAAAAGGTAAAGCTCCGGTCACAACGGTGACCGAAGGACCAGTGGAAGAAGTACTCGAAGAGACGCTGTTACCATTACCATCTCCAGAATTCGTGAAACCGTCTGAACTGGAAGAGGTTCGCGAGCAAGTGACCGTGACCGAAGATGTCACGAGGGAAGGTAAGCCAAGAAGAATCGTGAAGAGGAAGGTGATAAGACGCAAAGGAAAGGAGCAGCGGGTGACGGAAGAGGTCACCGTTGAAGAGAAGGGCAAGTCTCCTGTCACTACGGTGACAGAGGGTCCGGTCGAGGAAGTTGTTGAAGAGTTCCTCAAGCCTTTGGCTGCTCCAGAATTTGTAACACCGACCGAGATGGAGGAGGTTCGAGAACAGGTGACTGTTACCAAAGAAGTGACCAGAGAAGGTAAGCCGAAGAAGATCACGAAGAAGAAGGTGATCAGACGCAAAGGTAAGGAACAACAGGTGACTGAAGAAGTGACTGTTGAAGAGCAAGGAAAGGCACCGGTGACAAGTATAACAGAAGGACCAGTTGAAGAAGTAGTTGAAGAGTTTGTCAAACCATTACCCAAACCGAAATACGCGAAGCCATCTGAAGTTGAAGAAGTAAGAGAACAGGTGACTGTTACTGAAGAAGTAACCCGAGAAGGAAAACCCAAAAAGATCACGAAGAAGAAGGTAATCAGACGCAAAGGTAAGGAACAACAGGTGACTGAAGAAGTCACTGTTGAGGAGCAAGGAAAAGCACCAGTGACTAGCATAACTGAAGGACCAGTTGAAGAAGTAGTTGAAGAGTTTGTAAAAGAATTACCAAAGCCAAAATACGCGAAGCCATCTGAAGTTGAAGAAGTAAGAGAACAAGTTACCATCACTGAAGAAGTGACCAGAGAAGGTAAGCCTAAAAAGATCACGAAGAAGAAGGTAATAAAACGCAAAGGAAAAGAACAGCAAGTGACCGAAGAAGTCACCGTCGAAGAGCAAGGAAAAGCTCCAGTGACCAGCATAACAGAAGGACCAGTTGAAGAAGTAGTCGAAGAGATCGTCACACCTTTGCCGAGACCAAAATACGCAAAACCATCCGAAATTGAAGAAATCCGAGAACAAGTTACCGTCACCGAAGAAGTGACTAGAGAAGGAAAACCGAAGAAGATCATAAAGAAGAAGGTGATCAGACGCAAAGGTAAAGAACAACAAGTGACCGAAGAAGTCACCGTCGAAGAAAAAGGTAAAGCTCCGGTCACAACGGTGACCGAAGGACCAGTCGAAGAAGTAGTCGAAGAGACACTGTTACCATTACCTGCACCCGAGTTCGTAAAACCGTCCGAAGTCGAGGAAGTCCGTGAACAAGTCACAGTCACGGAAGAAGTAACGAAAGAAGGCAAGCCGAAGAAAGTGATCAAGAAGAAGGTGATAAGACGCAAGGGGAAAGAGCAGCGGGTGACCGAAGTGGTCACCGTCGAAGAAAAGGGCAAAGCTCCGGTGACTACAGTTACGGAAGGACCGGTTGAAGAAGTGGTGGAAGAAATCGTCAAGGTCAAGCCTGCCGAAGTAGAGGAGGTTCGGGAGCAGGTGACCGTGACCGAAGAAGTGACCAAAGAAGGCAAACCGAAGAAGATAATAAAGAAGAAGGTCATCAAAAGAAAGGGAAAAGTTCAACAGGTGACCGAGGAGGTCATAGTCGAAGAAAAGGGTAAAGCTCCAGTGACTACTGTAACGGAGGGACCTGTTGAAGAAGTCGTTGAAGAAATTCTAAAAGCGTTGCCCGCTCCCGAGTTCGTGAAACCATCCGAGGTCGAGGAGGTTAGAGAGCAAGTGACCGTGACCGAAGAGGTCACGAGGGAGGGCAAGCCGAAGAGAGTGATCAAGAAGAAGGTGGTAAGACGCAAGGGGAAGGAGCAACAGGTCACCGAGGAAGTCACTGTCGAAGAAAAGGGTAAAGCCCCTGTCACTACTGTCACGGAAGGTCCAGTCGAGGAGATCGTTGAAGAAATTCTAAAGGCGTTGCCAGCCCCAGAGTTTGCGAAACCGTCCGAGGTGGAGGAAGTACGTGAACAGGTGACCGTTACTGAAGAGGTAACGAGAGAAGGCAAGCCGAAGAAGATCACGAAGAAGAAGATTATAAAGCGTAAAGGGAAGGAACAACGGGTCACCGAAGAGGTTACTGTCGAGGAGAAGGGCAAGGCCCCGGTCACTACGGTCACAGAAGGCCCTGTCGAAGAAATTGTTGAAGAAATCATCAAGAAATTACCTGCGCCCGAGTTCATCAAGCCTTCCGAAGTGGAAGAAGTTCGGGAACAGGTGACCGTTACCGAAGAGATCACCAAGGAAGGGAAGCCGAAGAGGGTGGTTAAGAAGAAGATTATAAAACGAAAGGGTAAAGAGCAACAGGTTACCGAAGAAGTCACCGTTGAGGAGAAAGGAAAAGCTCCTGTGACAACGGTAACAGAGGGGCCAGTCGAAGAGGTTGTAGAAGAGACAATTACACCGCTACCAATATCAGAGTTTGTAAAACCAACAGAAGTTGAAGAAGTGCGAGAACAAGTAACAGTTACTGAAGAAATAACGAAAGAAGGCAAACAAAAGAAAGTAATCAAGAAAAAGGTCATCAAACGAAAGGGTAAAGAGCAACAAGTCACCGAAGAAGTCACTGTTGAAGAAAAGGGCAAAGCTCCTGTAACTACTGTAATAGAAGGACCAGTCGAAGAGGTTCTCGAAGAGACAATTACACCACTACCAATCTCAGAGTTTGTGAAACCGAGGGAAGTTGAAGAAGTGCGTGAACAAGTAACAGTCACCGAAGAAATAACCAAGGAAGGCAAACCAAAGAAAGTAATCAAGAAAAAGGTTATCAAACGAAAGGGTAAAGAACAGCAAGTTACCGAAGAAGTCACTGTCGAAGAGAAGGGTAAAGCTCCTGTAACCACAATAACAGAAGGTCCAGTTGAAGAGGTTGTGGAAGAGACGTTTACCGAATTACCAATATCAGAATTTGTGAAACCAACAGAAGTTGAAGAAGTGCGGGAACAGGTAACAGTTACTGAAGAAATAACGAGAGAAGGCAAACCAAAGAAGATAGTTAAGAAGAAGATAATAAAACGAAAGGGTAGAGAACAACAAGTTACCGAAGAAGTCACTGTCGAAGAGAAGGGTAAAGCTCCTGTAACCACAATAACAGAAGGTCCAGTTGAAGAGGTTGTGGAAGAGACGTTTACCGAATTACCAATATCAGAATTTGTGAAACCAACAGAAGTTGAAGAAGTGCGGGAACAGGTAACAGTTACTGAAGAAATAACGAGAGAAGGCAAACCAAAGAAGATAGTTAAGAAGAAGATAATAAAACGAAAGGGTAGAGAACAACAAGTTACCGAAGAAGTCACTGTCGAAGAGAAGGGTAAAGCTCCTGTAACCACAATAACAGAAGGTCCAGTTGAAGAGGTTGTGGAAGAGACGTTTACCGAATTACCAATATCAGAATTTGTGAAACCAACAGAAGTTGAAGAAGTGCGGGAACAGGTAACAGTTACTGAAGAAATAACGAGAGAAGGCAAACCAAAGAAGATAGTTAAGAAGAAGATAATAAAACGAAAGGGTAGAGAACAACAAGTTACCGAAGAAGTCACTGTCGAAGAGAAGGGTAAAGCTCCTGTAACCACAATAACAGAAGGTCCAGTTGAAGAGGTTGTGGAAGAGACGTTTACCGAATTACCAATATCAGAATTTGTGAAACCAACAGAAGTTGAAGAAGTGCGGGAACAGGTAACAGTTACTGAAGAAATAACGAGAGAAGGCAAACCAAAGAAGATAGTTAAGAAGAAGATAATAAAACGAAAGGGTAAAGAACAACAAGTTACCGAAGAAGTCACTGTTGAAGAAAAAGGCAAAGCTCCTGTCACTACGGTAACAGAAGGTCCAGTGGAAGAAGTTCTCGAAGAAACAGTCACACCATTACCAATCTCAGAATTTGTAAAACCAACAGAAGTTGAAGAAGTACGCGAGCAAGTAACAGTCACCAAAGAAATAACCAAAGAAGGCAAGCCAAAGAAAATAGTTAAGAAGAAGATAATAAAACGGAAAGGAAAAGAGCAACAAGTCACCGAAGAAGTCACTGTCCAAGAAAAAGGAAAAGCTCCAGTCACCACGGTAACAGAAGGTCCAATTGAAGAAATCATCGAAGAAATACTAAAACCATTGCCTGCTCCGGAAGTTGAAGAAGTGCGGGAACAGGTAACAGTCACTGAAGAAATAACCAAAGAAGGCAAACCAAAGAAGGTAATCAAGAAGAAGGTCATCAAACGAATAGGAAAAGAGCAACAGGTTACGGAAGAAGTCACTGTTGAAGAAAAGGGAAAAGCTCCTGTCACTACGGTAACAGAAGGTCCAGTGGAAGAAGTTCTCGAAGAAACAGTCACACCATTACCAATCTCAGAGTTTGTGAAACCAACAGAAGTTGAAGAAGTCCGTGAACAAGTAACAGTCACCGAAGAAATAACCAAAGAAGGCAAGCCAAAGAAGGTAGTTAAAAAGAAAATAATAAAACGAAAGGGTAAAGAGCAACAAGTCACCGAAGAAGTCACCGTCCAAGAAAAGGACAAAGCTCCTGTCACTACAATAACAGAAGGTCCAATTGAAGAAATCATCGAAGAGATACTAAAACCACTGTTTGTGAAACCAACAGAAGTTGAAGAAGTGCGTGAACAAGTAACAGTCACCGAAGAAATAACCAAAGAAGGCAAACCAAAGAAAGTAATCAAGAAAAAGGTCATCAAACGAAAGGGTAAAGAACAACAAGTCACCGAAGAAGTCACCGTTGAAGAAAAGGGCAAAGCTCCAGTCACCACAGTAACAGAAGGTCCAGTTGAAGAAGTTCTGGAAGAAACAGTCACACCATTACCAATCTCAGAATTTGCGAAACCAACAGAAGTGGAAGACGTTCGTGAACAAGTAACAGTCACCGAAGAAATAACCAAGGAAGGAAAACCGAAGAAAGTAATCAAGCTGTCTCTTATACACATCTAGATGTGTATAAGAGACAGCTTGATTACTTTCTTCGGCTGTCTCTTATACACATCTAGATGTGTATAAGAGACAGCTTGATTACTTTCTTCGGCTGTCTCTTATACACATCTAGATGTGTATAAGAGACAGCTTGATTACTTTCTTCGGCTGTCTCTTATACACATCTAGATGTGTATAAGAGACAGCTTGATTACTTTCTTCGGCTGTCTCTTATACACATCTAGATGTGTATAAGAGACAGCTTGATTACTTTCTTCGGCTGTCTCTTATACACATCTAGATGTGTATAAGAGACAGCTTGATTACTTTCTTCGGCTGTCTCTTATACACATCTAGATGTGTATAAGAGACAGCTTGATTACTTTCTTCGGCTGTCTCTTATACACATCTAGATGTGTATAAGAGACAGCTTGATTACTTTCTTCGGCTGTCTCTTATACACATCTAGATGTGTATAAGAGACAGCTTGATTACTTTCTTCGGCTGTCTCTTATACACATCTAGATGTGTATAAGAGACAGCTTGATTACTTTCTTCGGCTGTCTCTTATACACATCTAGATGTGTATAAGAGACAGCTTGATTACTTTCTTCGGCTGTCTCTTATACACATCTAGATGTGTATAAGAGACAGCTTGATTACTTTCTTCGGCTGTCTCTTATACACATCTAGATGTGTATAAGAGACAGCTTGATTACTTTCTTCGGCTGTCTCTTATACACATCTAGATGTGTATAAGAGACAGCCGAAGAAAGTAATCAAGAAAAAGGTCATCAAACGAAAGGGTAAAGAACAACAAGTTACCGAAGAAGTCACTGTGGAAGAAAAGGGTAAAGCTCCAGTCACTACAATAACAGAAGGTCCACTGGAAGAAGTTCTCGAAGAGACAATTACTCCACTACCAATCTCAGAGTTTGTAAAACCAACAGAAGTTGAAGAAGTACGTGAACAAGTAACAGTCACCGAAGAAATAACCAAGGAAGGAAAACCGAAGAAAGTAATCAAGAAAAAGGTCATCAAACGAAAGGGTAAAGAGCAACAAGTTACCGAGGAAGTCACTGTCCAAGAAAAAGGAAAAGCTCCAGTCACCACAGTAACAGAAGGTCCAATCGAAGAAATTCTCGAAGAAACAGTCACACCATTACCAATCTCAAAGTTTGTGAAACCAACAGAAGTTGAAGAAATCCGTGAACAAGTAACAGTCACCGAAGAAATAACCGAAGAAGGCAAGCCAAAGAAGGTAGTTAAAAAGAAAATAATAAAACGAAAGGGTAAAGAGCAACAAGTCACCGAAGAAGTCACCGTCCAAGAAAAGGACAAAGCTCCTGTCACTACAATAACAGAAGGTCCAATTGAAGAAATCATCGAAGAGATACTAAAACCACTGCTCGCTCCAGAAGTCGTCAAGCCAACAGAAGTTGAAGAAGTGCGTGAACAAGTAACAGTCACCGAGGAAATAACGAAAGAAGGCAAACCAAAGAAAATAATCAAGAAAAAGGTCATCAAACGAAAGGGTAAAGAACAACAAGTCACCGAAGAAGTCACAGTCGAAGAAAAGGGTAAAGCTCCTGTCACCACAGTAACAGAAGGTCCAGTTGAAGAAGTTCTCGAAGAGACAGTTACTCCTCTACCTGTCCCAGAGTTCGCGAAACCGTCCGAAGTCGAAGAGATCCGCGAGCAAGTCACTGTCACCGAAGAAGTGACAAAGGAAGGCAAGCCGAAGAAGATCACGAAGAAGAAGGTGATCAAACGTAAGGGAAAAGAGCAACAAGTCACCGAAGAAGTCACCGTCGAGGAGCCAGGCAAGGCTCCGAAGACGACGATAACCGAGGGGCCAGTTGAAGAAGTGATCGAGGAAACGGTGAAGCCGCTCGAAGCTGTAGAAGTTCCCGAAGAAGCATTGGTCCCCGAAGGCGTCGCGAAGAAACCTAAGCCGAAGAAGCTGGTAAAAAAGAAAATAACAAAAGACGTCGAAGAAGTCGTGTCCGAAGTCATCGAATCCGCTCCCGAAGCTCCCGAAGTTCCTGAAGCTCCAACTAAGAAGCCCTTCAAGCTCCAGCGGCTGAAGGTATCCAAGATCGAAACGATGAAGCTGGAAGCGCAGGAGGTGTCCTTGAACAAGCCTCAATTCGCGCAGATCACACTGCGCAAGACGCCGAAGCCGAAGCGTCCGGAAGCGAAGAAAGAGAAGCTTCCGCGCGTGTTACTGAAGAGCCGCATCGTCGCCATCGAGTTCCCGCCGAAGCCGAGGTTGCTGCGGATCACCGAGTTGGAGCCGATCGAGTTACAAAGCGGCGTTCTGTCGCGGAACGTGGAGGAGGCGGCCGCGTTACCGAAGCCGAAGAAGAAGAAGGTGAAGCAGCTGAAGAAAGAGTTCGCGAAACTAGAACAACTAGACAAAGAGTTCGCTGAGCTGAAGAAAGTATTACCTTTAGAAAAACTTGAGGAGCCGGTCGCGCTGAAGCCGGAGAAGAAGTTGAAGAAGAAGCCGAAGAAAAAGCCCGAAGCGGTGCTTCTAGAAGAGGAGCTGCGTCCGCAATTGCGTCGGCTCAGCATCAAAGAACAAAAGCCGATCAAACCGAAGATCGACGAGCCGGCGACGCCACTGTTCGCGCAGATCAAGCTGAAGAAGCCGAAGCCGACGCCGAAGAGGGTCGGCAAGGACGAGGGCAAGTTCCCGAAGTTCTTGCTGCGGAGTCGCATAACCGCGCACGAATATCCGCCGTCGATGCGGTATCCGAGCATCACCGAATTGGAGCCGAACTACGTGCAGACGGGAATCCTGTCGCGCACGATGGAAGAAGCCTTGAAGATCAAGAAGATCAAGCACAAGAAGATGAAGCTCCCCGAAAAAGAGCTAACTGACCTGGAGAAGCTTGACCAGGAGTTAGAGGAGCTGAAGAAGGTGCCGCTGGAGAAGGTCGAGGAGCTGGCACCGTACGAGCGGAAGCCGCGGCCGGAGATGGTTGAGGAGGAGAAGCCGAAGAAGCTGAAGATCGGCAAGGGTAAGCGGCGACCAGAAGAGCCGGAGGAGCAAGAGATCGTGAAGCTGAAGAAGATCCCGGAGAAGGCGCCGGAGGTGCCTGAAGAGGCTGTGCTGGCTCCGAGGAAGAAGGACGAGGCGGAGAAGCCTGAGAAGGTTAAAGAAGAGAGAGAATACCCGGAGCTGAAGCCGTTCGAGCCTTACGACGTGGACAGAAGCGACGTTGAACTCGAAGAGTACGAGAAGCCGGAGTTTCCGGCGCCGGAGGAGCCGAAGCCGAAGAAGGCACCGGCGAAGAGGCCGAAAAAGGAGCGCAAGCTGCCCGAGCAGGAGACCGAGGCGGTCCCCATAGTGCCGGGGGTCCCGAGGCCCAAAGAGCCTGAAGAGGAGGAGGAGATCAAGCGGAGGATCCCGGAGCGGCCGGCGCCGGCGGAGGAGCCTGAAGAGATCAGGCTGAAGCCGTGGAAGAAGCCGGCGGAGCCTGAAGAAGGCGAGAAGAAGCCGGAGGATTACATAAAGTTCGTTCCGAGGGACGACGACATTGTTGAGACGGTCGAGGTGGTCACGACCTTGGAGGTCGAGGAGACCCCGGAGAAGAAGCCGAGACGTATCAAGAGGAAAAAGACGACGACGAGGCGCGGCGACGAGAGCCCGAAGGTCGTCGAAGAGACGACGGTCGAGGAAGAGGGCGCCGAGCCCGTCGTCACGGTCGCCGAGATCGTTGAAGAGATGCCGGAGCTCGTTAGCCCTGTCGAGGCTGTCGTGAAGCCCGCGCCCGTCGAAGAGATCAGAGAGGAGATCGTGACGAGCGAGATCGTCGAGGAGGGCGTTAAGAGAACGGTCCACAAAAAGCGGGTGACGAGGAAACGCGAAGGTAAAGAACGGGTCACCGAGGAGGTGGTCGTCGAGGAGGAAGGTAAAGCGCCGTTAACGGCGACAATAGAACTACCTGAAGACACTACACCAGAAATACACGAAAAACCCAAACACAAAAGACCGATTAAACCCAAAGCCGATGAGACTGTGCACGAAGGTAAGCGCATTTCTTACGTATTACTATCACAATTACGTACAATCAGACGATACAACGTGCATACGCCATTATACCATGTCCTATTATGCTTAACAAGAACAGGGACACAAAGAGACATACTCGACAAACATACTATACTTCTGTCTTATGATACCGTATATAGATGTAGACAGTGTGTCCCGAAATTATTGTATTTCCAGGAACTGAGGGGTTCGTGAGATCATTTCAAGTAACTTTTTCCTTAGCGGAAATGTTCTACGAGGCTTCGTTTACGAGTTATTAATAAAAAAACGCTGGCCAATTAGAGGTGAGCACGGCTGACGCCCCGCCCTCGCGTCCGCTGCCGCTGCGTCAGACAGACAGCGCGACGCGGCATTGGCCGCGAGAGCGGAGCGCCGGCCGCGCTCGCTCTCCGAATGATCGCCGCTTCGACCGCTCGTTGGCTCGGCCACCTCGCGCTGACCGAGCTCGCTTCTCATTGGTCAGTGCTTTTCGCTAGTAACTAACGAGAAAGTTACTTCGAATGATCGCAGGAACTCCACATTTTCCGGAAATACCATAATTTTAGGACTCCCTGTATATATATGTACACAACTGTTATTGCAAAAGTATTTACCAGCTAATTGATCCGCTTTAGAGCGACTATCACGATAAGCTATTTAAAGAAGCGTCTAGGAGAGCTGAGTATCCATTTTAAAATTAGTTTCCGCTTCATATATGGATTTAAAGCATTCTGTTGTTATTCCAGATGTCGCGGAGAAGACGATTCAACAGGTAAGCCGATCTCGATCTCTTTTTTTTCTCGCTTGGCGTCTGCGAAATATGTCGTTTCTTTTATCGGACTTTCGCGATTCGTGAAATTTGTACTTTTCTTCTTTACCGAAAAATTTTGAATGCGCGATTCAGTTCGTCTTATTTTTTGCTCGGGAGAGAATGCAGTAATTTCTTCCAGAAATGTTCGGAGGACAAGAATGAAACCGGCAGATCTGGGAATACTGGAGTAAATGCTATAATAAACGTAATAACTTAACTTTTTTATTTCTTATTTTTTTGTTATTTTCTGCCTTATTTTTTTAAGGCAATTCGGAGACCACGTGATACGATTCGAAGCCTCGCGGCTCGTTTTTACAGTCGTTTACAATCGGCGAACTATACAGAATATCACATAATTACGTCAACACCCGGAAAGGGACGATTCCTGAGGTGATTTGAAGTAACTTTTTCTTTAGCGAAATTGCGATCCGCGGCTTCGTTTTCGAGTTATTAATGAAAAACGCTTGACCAATGAGAGGCGAGCGCGGCTGGCGCAAGGCCCGGTTCCGCTGATTGGCTCAGACGCCGCGCGCCAGCCGAGCTCGCCGCCCATTGGTCACTGTTCTTCGTTAATGACGCGTAAATGAAGCCGTGGATCGCATTTTCGCTGAGGAAAAAGTTGCTTCGAATGACCTCGAGAATCCCTCGTTTCCCGGAAGTACCATAATTACGGGACACTCTATATAAAATGAACCGCGAGGCTCGAACAATCGTATCTCCTCTTCCCAAATTGTCCAGCTTTGCTTGCAAGCTGAGGGACAATTGGAGAGAATTTATCGTACGTCGCGGACAAAGTGAAGTTGCGTGGAACTTATTCGACGATCCGTTCTCAGCGCTGCTGGTAATAAATATTAACCCTTTCAAGACAAACGGGAGACGTGAACTGGATCGATTCGATTTTCGATGGAAATTTCGTCTATTTCTCTAATCGTTTCGTACGTAAAGACATTCGATTTTTAAAAGAATCTACGATTTATTTTTGAATTTACGATTTTATTCGGTTACTAGAAACGCGATCGATACAGTCATTCTCCAAAATATTCGAACAAATCCGTGTAAAATTTGCCATTTCCGGAAGAAATTACTGTGCACACCGAATCGATGATTATAATATCCACAACGATTACTATACTCGCAACCAGAAACGACATGTTCGCGCGCGCCAATGCCAACAGAATCTTCGCCCAAGAGCCCTTGATCACCGAATTATTCCAATCGATGCGACCAGGAGGAGATCATCGAGGAAGCGAAGGAAGTCAAAAAGGTTCCGAAGAAGAAGAAGCCGGTAACGGCGAAGGACGAGGTGACGGAGGAGGTCGTGGAGGAGATAACGATCGAAGAGCCGGAGAAGCGGAAGGCGAAGCCGGTCGTCGAGGAAGAGGAGACGGTGACGGTGACGGAGCTCGACGTGAGGAAAGCGCCGAAGAAGAAAAAGGAAGTCGTGATAAAAGAAGAAGAGGAGATCTTCGAGACGATCGAGACGCCGACCCAGAAGATCATCCGGAAGAAGAGGCGGCCGATGAAGAAAGGCGAGGAGGAGGTCGTGGTCGAGGAGATCATAATAAAGCCCCGCGAAGAGACCATCGAAATGGAAGAACAGCGGATCGTCGAGGTGGTCGAGACGCCGACGACGAAGATCATCAAGAAGAAGAAGGCGGTGACGAGGGACGACGGTGTCCCTGAAGAGGTGATCGAGGAGATCCGCATCGAGAAGCCGAAGAAAGAAAAGGCGAAGCCGCTCGTAGAAGAGGAGAAGGAGACTGTGACCGTGACGAAGGTCGAGCTGAAGAAGGCGCCGAAGAAGCCGAAAGAAGAGATCGAAGAAGAGGAAGAAGAGGAGATCGTCGAGATTATCGAGACACCGACGAAGAAGATCGTTCGGAAGAAACCGAAGAAGGAGGCCAAGGTCGTTGAAGAGGTGATCGAGAAGACGGCGGAGGAGGCGAAGGTCATGGAGGAGCAGGAGATCGTGGAGATAGTTGAGACGCCTACGCGAAAGGTCGTGAAGAAGAAGAGGGCGACGGTGAAGGAGGGCAAAGTGACCGAGGAGGTCGAGGAGCTCGTGATCGAGAAGCCCGTGAAGGAGAAGGCGAAGAAGAAGGTCGTCCCGAAGGAGGGCATCGAGGTCACGGAGGTCGTCGCGGAGACGCCAGTCGAAGAGCTCGAGGCGGAGAAGATCGAGCCGGAAGAAGCCAAGCCCTCCGAAATAGAAGAAGAAGAGAAACCAAAGGTGTCGGAGGTGGTCGTGAAGAAAGCGCCGAAGAAGAAGAAGACGGTCACCGTGGTCGAAGCTGAGGAGAAGGTCGAAGTTGTGGAAGAATTGAAGCCCGAAGAGCCTGAAGAGGAGAAGCCGAAGCCGATAATCTCCGAAGAGGAGGCCGTCGAGATAACGGAAGTGGTCACCGAGGAGGTTCCGGAGAAGGCGAAGCCGAAGAAGAAGAAGAAGGCGACGGTGGTGGAGGAGAAAGAGGAGAAAGTGGTTGTGGAGAAGGTGGTGCTGAAGAAGGCGCCGGAAGAGACGGTCCCGGAGGAACTACCGGAGGAACTCCCGGAGGAAGAAGTGAAAGAACTCGTCCCGGAGAAGCCGAAGAAGATCAAGGCGAAGAAGGAAGTGACCCCGTCAGAGGGCATCGTGACGACGGAGGTGGTCGCCACGACGGCGGAGGAGAAACTGGAGGTCGAAAAACCGGAAGAGGAAAAGGCGACGGTAACCGAAGAGGAACGGGAGGTGTCTAAGGTGGAGGAGAAGAAGGTCGCCGTGAAGAAGGCCCCGCGGAAGAAGGAGAAGCCGACCACAGCCGAGGAGGAGCAGGTGGAGGAAGTTGTCGAAGAGATAACGCCGGAAGAGCCGAAGAAGAGGAAGGCGAAGAAGACGGTGGTTCCCAAAGAAGAGCTTCAAACGACCGAAGTGGTCGCTGAAGTCGCGACAGAGGAGATAGAGGAGGAGAAGCCGAAGGAGGAGAAAGCCGTTCCGAAAGAAGAAGAGAAGGTGGAGGAGGAGGCCAAGGTTACGGAGATTGCCGTCAAGAAAGTGCCGAAGAAGAAGAAGAAGGAGGAGCCGATCACGAATGGAGAGGTGGTCGAGGAGAAGCCGAAGGAGAAAGAAATTCCGGAGGAGAAGCCGAAGGAAGAAGTTCCAGAAGCGCCAAAAGAAGAAGAGGCTCTGAAAGGAGAAGAGGCTCCGAAAGAGAAGCCGAAGAAGAAGAAGCCGGTGGAAAAGAAGCCCGCCGTGGCGGAGGAAGAAAAGGTCGAAGAGAAAGTGGAAGAAATAATCGAAGAAAAACCAAAGAAAGTAAAGGCAAAGAAAGAGGTGGTGCCGAAGGAGGCCGTGGAAGCCGCCGAGGTCGTTCCCGAAGCGGTTCCCGAAGAGCTGCCAGCGAAGAAGCCCAAAGAGCGCAAGGCCGTGCCGGTCGAAGAAGCGAAGGAAGAAGTGGTGGTTGAAGAAGTTCCGGTGGAGAAGGCTCCGGAGAAAGTAGAAAAATTACCGGAAGAAGTGGTCGAAGGGAAACCGGTGGAAGAAGCGGCGGAGAAGCCGAAGGAGAAGCCGAAGAAGAAGAAGAAGAAACCGGCGAAGAAAGATGAAATCGAGGAGTGGGTGGAGCCGGAGTACGAGCGACCGGTGCTGGAGAAGATGCCGGAGAAGATCCAGTGGGAGCCGAGCAAGAAGAAGAAGGAGAAGAAGGAGCTGCCGGCGGTCCTGCAGAAGCTGGTCCCGCAGAAGATCGAGCGGAAGGAGATCAAACCGACGAAGCTGAAGTACTCGGAGCCCGGCGAAACCGTGCAGTTCGCAGCGGTGAAACTGAAGAAGGTGGCGCCGGCGAAGAAGAAGAGCGTCGGCGAGCCGAAGTTCCCGAAGATCATGCTGCGGAGCAGGATCCAGTTCGTTGGCGACTATCCTCCGGAGATGCAGGTGCCGAAGATAACGGAGCTGGAGGAGAATCCCGTGCAGACGGGAATACTCTCTAGAAACACGGAGGAGGCGCTGAAGGTCCTGAAGAGGAAGATCAAACGGGTTAAATTGTCGGAGAAGGAGGTCGCGGAGCTGGAGAAGCTGGATCTGGAGTTCGAGGAGCTGAAGAAGGTGCCGCTGGAGAAGGCCGAGGAGCTGGCCCCGTACGAGCGGAAGCCGAAGAAGCCGGCGGAGAAGCCGGAGGAGCCGCAGAAGTTGGTCGTGGGCAAGGGCAAGGTGCCGGAGGAGGAGAAGGTCGAGCCGGAGAAGGTGAAGCTGAAGAAGATACCGGAGGCGAAGCCCGAGGAGGTACCAGAGCCGCTGAAGAAGCCAGCGAGGCCGGAACCGGAAGAGGAGGTCAAGCCGGAGAAGAAGAAGAAGCCGAAAGTGAAGTTGGAGCACGACGAGCTGAAGCCTCTGGACTTCGACAGGCCGGAGCTCGAGAAGTACGTTCCCGAAGAGTACGAGAAACCCGAAGAGCCGGCGCCGGAGCCGGTTCCGAAACCGTACGAGAAGGAGCCGAGGAAGAAGCCGGATCAAGAGATCGAGCAGATACCTCTGATAAAAGGTGAGCCGAAACCACCCGAGCCGGTCGAAGAGCCGGAGGTCAAGTTCAGGATTCCGGAGAAGAAGAAACCGGAAGAGGAGGAGGAGAAGATAACGTTGAAGCCGTGGAAGAAGGAAAAGCCTGAAGAAGTCGTCGAGAAAGTGATACCGGTGAAGGAGGAGGAGGAAGTCCCGAAGGCACCGAAAGAAGAGCCCGAGGACGTTACGATCAAGCGCAAGGCGAAGCCGAAGAAACCCAAAGAGAAAGCTCCCAAGGAAGAGGAAGTGACGCTGAAGAAACCGGAAGCCGTGGAACCGGAAAAGGCGCCGGAAGTAACGGAAGAGATCGTGCTGAAGAAAGAGCCCGAGAAGCCTGTCGAGGAAGCGCCAGCCGAAGTGACGATCAAAGAACCAGTCGTCGAAGAGAAAGAGGTGGAAGAAGAAGAAGTCGTGACCGAGGTCACCCTGAAGAAGAAGCCAAAGAAACCGGCCGAGGTGGCAGAGGAAGCTGTCGTGAAGAAGCCGAAGAAGAAGAAGCCTGTCGAGGAAGAAGAAGTCGCAGAGGTCACGGTTACGAAACCGGTTGTCGAAGAGAAGGTGGTCGAGGAAGAGGAAGTCAAGGAAGAAATTGTGATAAAGAGGAAGCCCAAGGAGAAGCCGGTTCCCGAAGAGGTGGTTGAAGAAGTGGTCGTTAAGAAACCGGAAGAGAAAGTGCCGGAACAAGTGACCGAGGAGATAAAGAAACCAAAGAAGAAGAAGCCCGTGAAGGAAGAAGTCGTCGAAGAGGTGACGATCAAGAAACCGGTCGTGGAAGAGAAGAAGGAGGAAGAAGTTCCTGAAGAGGTGACCTTGAAGAAGAAGAAGCCGAAGGAGAAGCCGGTTCCGGAAGAAGTAGCCGAAGAGATTACCCTGAAGAAACCGGAACCTGAAGAAGTGGCGAAGGTGCCGGAAGAAGTGACCGAGCAAGTCGAGCTGAAGAAGCCGAAGAAGAAGAAGCCGGTGGTCGAAGAAGCGGCCGAGGAAATTACTATCAAGAAGGTCGTGGTAGAAGAGAAGAAAGAGGAGGAGGTTCCTGAAGAGGTGACCTTGAAGAAGAAGAAGCCAAAGGAGAAACCGATGCCGGAAGAAGTGTCGGAGGAAGTAACGCTGAAGAAACCGGAGCCAGAAGAGAAGGTGAAAGTTCCCGAAGAGGTGAGCGAAGAGGTCGAGCTGAAGAAGCCGAAGAAGAAGAAGCCGGTGGTGGAAGAAGCGGCCGAGGAAATTACGATCAAGAAGGTCGTTGTTGAAGAGAAGAAAGAGGAAGAGGTTCCTGAAGAGGTGACCCTCAAGAAGAAGAAACCGAAGGAGAAGCCGGTTCCTGAAGAAGTAGCCGAAGAGGTTACTCTGAAGAAACCGGAACCCGAAGAGAAGGCTCCGGAAGAGGTCAGCGAACAAGTCGAGCTGAAGAAGCCGAAGAAGAAGAAGCCGGTTGTGGAGGAAGCTGCGGACGAAGTGACGCTGAAGAAGGTGGTGGTTGAAGAGAAGAAAGTGGAGGAGGTTGCAGAGGAGGTCACCTTGAAGAAGAGGAAGCCGAAGGAGAAGCCGGTTCCTGAAGAAGTAGCCGAAGAGGTTACTCTGAAGAAACCGGAACCCGAAGAGAAGGCTCCGGAAGAGGTCAGCGAACAAGTCGAGCTGAAGAAGCCGAAGAAGAAGAAGCCGGTGATCGAAGAAGCGGCCGACGAAGTGGCGATCAAGAAGGTCGTGATAGAAGAGAAGGAAGAGGAGGAAGTTCCTGATGAGGTCACTTTGAAGAAGAAGAAACCGAAAGAGAAGCCGGTTCCGGAAGAGGTGTCAGAAGAGATTACCCTGAAGAAGCTGGTACCGAAAGAAGAAGAAAAAGCGCCGGAAGAGGTTTCTGAAAAGGTCGAGCTGAAGAAGCCAAAGAAGAAGAAGCCGGTAGTCGAGGAAGCGGCCGACGAAGTGACGATCAAGAAGGTCGTGGTAGAAGAGAAAGAAGGGGAAGAAGTTCCTGAAGAGGTAACCTTGAAGAAGAGGAAACCAAAGGAAAAGCCGGTTCCGGAAGAAGTGTCGGAGGAGATTACCCTGAAGAAGCCAGTTCCGAAGGAAGAAGAGAAAGCGCCGGAAGAGGTGTCCGAGAAAGTGGAGCTGAAGAAGCCGAAGAAGAAGAAGCCGGTGGTCGAAGATGCGGCCGACGAGGTGACGATCAAGAAACCGGTCGTGGAAGAGAAGGAAGAAGAAGAGGTTGCCGAAGAGGTAACCTTGAAGAAGAGGAAACCAAAGGAAATGCCGGTTCCGGAAGAAGTGTCGGAGGAGGTTACCCTGAAGAAGCCGGTGCCGAAAGAGGAGGAGAAAGAACCCGAAGAGGTCACCGAGAAGGTGGAGCTGAAGAAGCCGAAGAAGAAGAAGCCGGTGGTCGAAGAAGCGGCCGACGAAGTGACGATCAAGAAGCCGGTGCCCGTCGAAGCTGAGGAAGCTCCCGAGGAGATCACCATCAGAAAGAAGAAGAAGCCGGAGAAACGGCCGTCGGTCACGGAGGAGGTCGAGGAGACTGCGGTGACCCTGAAGAAAACTCGCGCGCCGCTCGAGAAGCCGGTCGAGGAAGAAGAGGTGTCGACGGACGTGCAAATAAGGAAGAAGAAAGCGCCGCGGAAGGTCGAGGAGGTCGCGGCTGACGAGCTCACGATCAAGAAGGTCGAGGAGGTCGAGCAGCCGGAAGAAGAGGAAGAAGAAGAGATCCACGAGTTCACGTTAAAACGTAAACCGCCGAAGCTCGCCCCGAAGCCGATCGAGGAGATCTACGAGGACGTCACTCTCCGGAAGCTGCGGCCGAAGAAGAAACCCAGGCCGGACATCAAGGAGATTACCGAGACGGAGAACGTGACGTTCCGTCCGCGGTCCACCAAGACCAAGGAGGATGTGGAGCAGGAGTTCAAGATCTCGTTGAACACCTACGAGGAGGAGGACATCTCGATGTCCGGGAAAGTCCGACTGAAGCCGAAGAAGCGGCCGATGACCTATTCCGAGGAGGCCGGCGAGGAGACGGTCAAGATCATGCGAGAAGTCGAGGACGACTCCGGCCCGATCATTGAGGAGATCATAGACGAGTCGGACGAGGAGGCCAAGGACGAGTACAGCATCGAGGAGCTGGAGACCGACGAGATGAACCTTCCGTTGAGACGCAGGAAGAAGAAGGTACCCAAACCGTACAAGGTCGAGGACCTCGAAGAAGGCGACGTCAAGCTGAAGTTGAAGCGCGAGAGAAAGTACTCGGTCGAGGAGACGGACGAGTCCTTGGCCCTGAAGCTGAAGAGCAAGAGACGCGTGTCCACCTACGACGAAGGTTCGACGGAATTCCGACGATTCGCGCTTTCGCAGATAACGATTTAATCCGATTGTAACATGCTTTCAGCTAAAGTAGAGATTAACCGTTGTTCGTCGAGCGTATATCGGCCCTTAGTGAGTATACTCGCCCCTAATCGTCCCTTACCTTTAGACGAGCTATTTCACCTTGCCTCACGCTTCATAATCCACTGCGAATGAAAAGCATATCGGTACTCCGTGATAACCTGCTTCACTGAAACTGCAACGAAACTGCTTAATTGCAGATGCATCGGAACGCCAAACCGCTTCATACGACTCGCCCTTTGTCTTACGCATTTAGGGCGTTCCTGCGATCACGATACAATCGGGAAAGAACCGATACAGCGAATTCTCTCAAATTGCCACTCAACGCGTAAACGAGAATGGAGAATTTTTGAAGAGGAGACGCGATAATTCGAGCCCCAATAATTATTAACAGTCGCGTCTCCTCTCCCCAAATTGTCCATTTTTGTTTACAAGCTGAGGGACAATTGGAGAAAAATTTACCGTGCTTCGAAGACAAACAACTTGAAAGCGTAAAATAAAATTGTTCGCGCGGAGTTTGAACACGCGGTGAAATCTCGAACGCGGACATTTTATTCTGCACTCTCGATTTACGTTCTTGCGAAGAATCGTTCCCCTTCGCGAATGTATCGCAGTTGCAGGATGATCTTCGCGGCGTGTGTAGCGAACGAAACGCAATTAGTAACGCAAAAGTGTCGCTTCACGATTGCGCAATGTCTCGTGATTATTTAGCGTACATTTTATACGATCTCCGAATACTAAATGCTTGCTCTTGCGACATTGTAGAAGAGGCAACGCTGAGTATCACCAGAGAAGAGGAGATCTCGGAGGAAGGTGCGTTCTTACAATTTTCTCCGGATAATTCTATCTCGATATTTCGTATTTTTACGCGTGCCGTGATCTTCTCTGGAATTCTTTTTGCAGATGAAATCGAGTACGTTGTCCGCGACGGCGACACGATGTTCTCGATTTGCTCGTACGTCGCTGAAACCGACGAAGCCATCAATCTCGTCGAAGGTGAAAGGGTTTACGTTATCGGTACGTCCGCTTGTATATAGGTTATAATAATTCTGTATAGGGCGTCCCATAATTATGTCAACAGCCGGAGGCGGGTGATTCCTGAGGTCGTTTCCTTAGCGGTAACGTTCTACGAGGCTTCGTTTACGAGTTATTAACGAAAAACAGTGACCAATGAGAGGCGAGCACGGCTGATGCATCGCTCTCGCGGCCAATGCCGCGTTGCGCCGGCCGCACTCGCTCTCTGATTGGTCGCTGCTTCGATCGCTCGTTGGCTCGGCCGCCTAGCGCCGAGCTCGCCTCTCATTGGCCAGTGGTTTTTGTTAATAACTCGTGAACGAAGCTGTGGATCGCGTTATCGCTATGGAAAAAGTTACTTCGCATTGTCTCAGGAATTACCCTTTTCCGGGTGCCGACATAATTATAGGACACCCTGTAGATCGTCCAGCGATTCGTGAAAATAATAGCTCGCGTGTCGCGTTCTCGCAGATCACACCAACCAGGACTGGTGGTTCGTGAAGAAACACCTCACGGAGGAGAAGGGATGGGTCCCGGCGCAGTATCTTCTGAACGAAGCGCACTATACTCTCTATCTGCAGCGCAAATTGCACGAGAAGATCGACAAATTACCAGTGTTCGAAAGTAAGCTCGTTTTCACTCGTGTTCGACCCTTCGAACGTTTGCTGAATTTCTAGGTGGAAATCGATGTTGAATTGCGTCGTAAAACCACGAAGAGATCGAAAAGTGTTGCGACACAAAGTGTGCAGACAGTGCAGACATTGTTCAGAAATTCTATAATGTATCAACAATTTTTTTTATAACACAATTAAGTTCTAATTTCTTAGCCGAGTAAATGTTTAACCATTTATAGAACAAAATTAATACTAACCTAAAAGAAAAATTATCAACGGAAATACGAAACGAAAAATTGATGCATACAGTTTTTTAGTGAATCTAGCTGTAGGATCTAGAAATAAAAATGCACTCGCATTCTCAAGGTGCGATAACGCGTCCATGAAAAAATATTAAATTGCGAATATTACTGGATAATATTCGTATATCGTCTAATGTTTTTTCTCTGCAATTCTTGTCTACACACTCTTTCTTTTTTATTATTATTATTTTATTATTATTTTATTATTATTATTATTATTATTATTATTATTATTATAAATAATCTTTTTAATTAATACTTTTTAATAACGCAGAGCCCCCGCCCGGCGAGAAAGCATCGGCGCCGAGGTTCATCGAGAAGCTGCAACCGATACACACGCCGGATGGCTACACGATTCAATTCGAGTGCCAAGTGGAGGGTCTGCCGAGGCCGCAGATCACGTGGTTCCGGCAAACCGCGATCATCAAGCCGTCTCCCGATTTCCAAATGTATTACGACGACGACAACGTGGCCACTTTGATCATCCGAGAGGTGTTCCCCGAAGATGCTGGCACCTTCACCTGCGTCGCCAAGAATGCTGCTGGATTTGCGTCCAGTACTACGGAATTGATCGTTGAGGCGCCACTTTCTGATCACGGATCGGATCTCACTGGACCGTCCAGAAAGAGTCTGTCGAGGTACGTTCATTTATTCAGTCCATTTACTTCGTTCTATAAACTAAATATTCACAATTTATATCACAAATTATAATTATATTAGAATATAAATTATAAATTTGCAATATATTATATTAGAATATAACTTATATATTTGTAATATAATATATTACATTAGAATACAAATTATCAACTAAATAAAAATATTCTGTTGTTACCAATTCCACAGTCGATCTGTCAATTAAACTGCTATGCTAAATTCGCTTGATACCGAAAGTAAATATGTATAATTACATATATATTTCATTTGGATAAATTGTCTTATAAATAAACGTTCACAGAGAATCATCCCTGGCCGACATCTTGGAAGGAATACCACCCACGTTCTCCCGGAAACCGAAGGCGAAATACGTGAACGAGGGCGACGACGTGATCCTGGAGTGTCGCCTGGTCGCGGTACCGGAACCTGAAATAACATGGTACTACAAGGACAAGCAGATCACGTCCAAAGAGAACATCAGAGTAGCGACAGAAAGCGACATGCACATGTACTGCAGCGTTATCAAGATCACCAAGGTGCAGAAGAAGCAAGAAGGGAAGTACACCATCGTTGCCAAGAACAGGGAAGGTGAAGCCACCATCGAGATTCCTTTGAAGGTCTGTATATTCTCGCTCGAAATGCATCGTAAACTATGCGATTATAAAGCATATTCTATCGGATTAGTAAAATACTAATACCATATTATGATATATATACATAAGTAACTTATATTAAGTTACTTAAGAAGTTATATTAGAATAATAATAATAATAATAATAATAATAATAATAATAAAGAACTTATATATTATATTATGATATATATATATAAGTAATATAACTTCAATTTTACGAATTCGGTGGAATATGCTTTATAATCGCACACATATATACATATATAATATATTTCTAATATATTTTTAATATATTTATAATATTTTACATTAGATTCTAATTTACGCAGCTCAGAAATCACAGATCAGATTTAACCTTAAATATCGAAGATGGCCGCCATTTCTAATCAAATTCCAAGTACATATTTTTTATAATAATACTTCGTGCAGGTGAAGACCGGCAAACAAGAGCCGCCGGAGTTTCTAGAACCCCTTCAGTCGTTTGTAGTCCGAGAAGGCGAAACTGTATTGTTGTCGACTCAAATAGTCGGAAATCCGGCGCCCAAGATCAGTTGGTACAAGAACGGCAAACCGCTGAAAGGCTTGACGCCGAAACAAGATGGCCACGTGAATACGTTGACGCTGATTCAACCGCAAGTGTCGGACACTGGAGATTATTCGGTGGTGGCTACCAACGACCTAGGCACTGTCGAGACGAAAGCCACGCTCACAGTCGAAAGTAAGAATCCTATTGTCTTCGGTTCTGAATCTTTGTTAACATTTTGCTACAAACGCTGGCCACGCATTTGTATTTCCTATTTGAGCTGCTCGATGCAAAATGAGTGATTCGATCCTATAACGAGACTGTGGACATTTGTATAAATATAAATATAATTATATAAATTATATTTAATTATATTTTATAATTATATCATTATAATGTTTAGTATATTTACTGTGAGTGGATTAAATTCACGTTTATTTAATTTTCCTGGAAACAATGACCAGTCTACGGATAATTTGTGAGAAAAAATAGCATATTTGAAATACTATATTTATAATATAGTATTTATAACATACTATTTATAATATACTATGTAACATACTATATAATATACTATATAATATACTATACAATGTACGATACAATGTACTATATAATATATTATATAATATACTATATAATATACTGTATAATATACTAATATACTATATACTATATATAGTATTCATAACTTAGTATTAACTCGAATTAAAAAAGGTTCTCTTCACTGTCAAATGATCGATCATTCATTTTGTACAACTAGAAATTGCACAATCAAAAGATTACCAACCTTTAATTAGACATTTTTCTGTCACGCCGCAAAATAAATTTATTCTCTTAGACTTATTAATTAATTCGACGTTACCGCTTGCATTAATGCCGCAAAATGCTTCGCTAATATCTTTTTTCCAGTAAACGCGAAGCCATCGATGTCCATTAACATTCAACAGCACACGTACGAACACTACACCGTGACAAAGGGTAAGATACGCTTTCGCTTCTGCTTGCTTCGATTCGATTTGGATTTTTGCGATTTCGGTTCGAATGAAATATCGAGTATGTACCATATTTTCCAGAAATACCAAGCGGTGCTCCCGAACCACCATTGTTCACGGAACGGTTCCAAGAACTTACCGTTCCAGAGAAAGGCACCTTCAAGCTTGTCGCCAAGGTCACTGGTAATCCTGTACCGGAAGTCACGTGGTTGAGGTACGATTTCTCACTTAAATAATTCCGCTTGCCGTACAGTCTATAATGTAAATAATAAAATTATTAGTCTGTAATAATAAAAGAGAGTTCACGGTCAAATTAAAGTAGTTCAATGACATTTGTAACATGTTTTGCAATAGCTGGAAATATTTAGTCCTGATAATATTGTCCCATTAATTGGGAAAGAAATGAAAAATAATCATTTGTGAAACAAATAACAATTATCGTCGAGTTTCCTTGGATTATGATATTAAATAGCACCTTTTCGATTTAACATTGCGCGACGAGCTATTTCACGTTTTATTATACCAAGACAAAGAACAATTCTTAAAACAGTAAACGTGCCTAATTTAAAGGACCTTCGAGCCGCTATAAAAATATCAGAAATAATTCTAAAACTGTAGAATAGCGAGCGAACAATTTTCGATGAATAAAAGTTCAGCAGTTCGAAACATTTACGAACGGATCGTCTTCAGGAACAATATGCCGTTGGAGAAGTCTCCGAACGTCACGGAGACGTACGACGGCGAGAACATCGTCCTTGAGATTCGGAACGCCAACTCGGAGACGGACGCCGGCGATTACAAGTGCATCGCCAGCAATCCTGTCGGCAAAGCTTCGCATGGCGCCAGAGTCACGGTGGACGTCGACAAAGTGACGTTCACGAAGTTGCTGGAAAAGGAAGTCGTCGTCGACGAGTACAAGACGCTGGAGCTGACCTGCGAGACATCCCACACGGTCTCGACGAAATGGTGGCACAATTACAAAGAAGTCAGCGGCATGGATCATCGCGAGATCATTCAGGAGGGACACGTGCATAAGCTGGTGATCAAGAAGACCAGTCCCACCGACGAGGGCACCTACGAGTGCACCGTCAAGGATCAGGCAACGTCCAGCAATGTCACGGTGAAAGGTAAACATTATTTTCAATTTAAATTAAAACCGTTGCACGATGTCTCCCTAACTGCCGCGAAATGTTATATTAATATAATATAATGATATAATAAATAATAAAGTATATAAATATTTGTCCAACTTGCCCATTTTTGTTTACAAGCTGAACAACAATTGGGGAGAATTTTCATTAATCGTTTTCGTTCATTCATTCGTTTGCTATAGATATTTTTATGGTGATAATGAGATTAATTCTACAACCGCAATAATACTTGCAATTAATTTTACACAACCGCGATAATACTTTAGATTAATTTAAAAATCGCAATAATACTTGAAATTAATTGTACAACCCCAATAATACTTTAGATTAATTTTAGAACCGCAATAATACTTGAAATTAATTTTACAATCGCAATAATTATAAATTGAAATTCGTGTTCGCAGCGACGAAGCCAGAGTTCGTGAAGAAGCTGCAGGACTGCGAAGTGAAGGAACGCGACGTCGCCATTTTGGAGGTCGAGATCACGTCGCAGACCGCCGACGTAAAATGGTTCAAGGACGGCGAACCGCTTGGACCGGGCAAAGAGAAATTGGAATTCGTGAAGGATGGTACCGTGAGAAAGCTGCTGATCCGAAGTACGTCGGTGCACGACGAGGGAGAATATTCTTGCACTCTGTTGGACCAACAATGCACGGCAGAAGTCACTGTTATCGGTGAGTGCTGTCGTTTCGCTGTGCAGGAAAAAGAAAGAAAATTAAAAAATAAAACAATTCCCGAAAACAAGGTACAGGTAGTCCTCCTGTGACACGGTAGATAAGTTTCTAAAACTTCCGAAAACTTATTAAAAACAAACATTTTTTTTTTAGTTCCATATAAGCAACTTAATTTCTATTAGAAATTTATTTTATTACAAATTTTATTTATATATATTTATATGCTCTCAATTATAACAATTATATTTTCATATAAAAACACTCTATATATAATGTAATATATAATATAATTTATAAATATATTATTTTAACATAATCGAGTTTTTAAATATATTAAACAAAAATCATGCTATCCGGTGCTGTAAAAATACGTACAATACTGTACAAAGGTTACCGTGTTACAGGAGGACTACCTGTACACGTATTCTTGATTCAGCCATCGAATGTATATTTATTAACCGGAATTCTTTCAGAATTACCACCGGAGATCATTACGAAGATGCAGGACGTGACCATAGCGAGAGGCGAGAGGGCAACTTTCGAGATCGAATTGACGAAAGGAGACGCGCTGGTACGGTGGTTCAAGGACGGCCAGGAGTTACAGTTCTCCGAGCACGTGCAGTTGTCCATAGACGGCAAGAGACAACGGCTGAAGATCTACGACACCGAACCGGAAGACGCGGCCGTCTACTCCTGCGAGGTTGGCAAACAGACATCATCGGCGAAACTGACTGTCGAGGAGCCTGGCGTCGACTTCATCACGAAGCTGCCGGACGTGACGCTGGTACCGTACAACAACGACGCAGTTTTCATCATAGAACTGTCGCAGAATGTGCCGGTCACGTGGCTCAGGTAAGCAGACAAAATTGTGCAACAGAGAAAATGATGCAATATTATATAATATTACAGTGCATGATATTACAGTAATATTACAATGCACAATATTACAGTAATATTACGATGCACAGTATTACAGTAATATTACTGTTTTATCACGTTTTCCCGGTGAGATCGAACAGTGAACTGTTAGATCTACGGAGGTCGTAAGTCTTCGATTCAATCGTATATGACACCGAGTCTGCGCGATTCCCTATGACTGATATCAATGACACTATATTTTAACATAACATAACAATTTTTAACGCTAGGGTGACTAACTGTACTTGGCTTAGAATGAATTGAGTTGATGGTGAGACTATCGACGGAGTCTTGACCGAAGTCTTTACACGTTGGTGTCTGGTTAGTATCTGACCGTTCGTTGTCTGTTTTGCTTTTTAAGAAGATTCGTTAGGGGTGTGAAGTTTTTACTGAGACACTTGGATTGAATGTTTTTTAAGTTTTCCGGATCTAGGAAGGGAAGCGGTCGTTTTGAGTGATTGATCAAAAAATTGTGAGCAAGGGAAAAGGTGACCGCCCCGAACTAACAGTCACTTGCAGGTGTGAATCGTACCTGCGAGTAAATCTCGCGAAGAATCCGCGTGTCTCGAAGGTTGACCGTCGCAGGTAATAAGACTGGGGAAAAAGATATTGCCTTGGGTAATTGGTGTGGTGCAGAAGGTAAAGGGAATACGTGACGGTGAGGGAATTTTGGCAACCAGATGTAGGCAGCATTGAAGGAAATATTACAGGCAGGAAATAACGGCTTCTCGGATAATTAGATACTATTGCTACGGTCGCTTATTTGTTTGTGGAAAGACGCTTGCAGTACAGATGGGGTCGTTTGGTAATTTTCGGAATCTATTGTATGGTAGGGACGGTGTGTTGAGTCCGAGCGGTCGAGCCGCGTATGCTTTATTACTATAGATAGCTTCTATAGTATATTACAATGCACAATATTACAGTAATCATCGTTTTATTATTACTATATCGTTTTACTATTATTAAATTTAACATAACAACCGCCGATCTTCATACAATTACAAATTTTTAGCGTATATTTTTCAAGTTCAAGAATACGTATTAATTAACAAGGTATTACGCATTTTTATTTTATTTTCACTTAATTTTAAAGATTCGCCGTTTAATAATATCATTTCTATTTTATCTTGAATTATAAGAAAGAGTATAATCGGTAAAATAATTTTCTTCTTAATATTATTATCAATCAAATGTTTTCAAATCTAGAAAATATACATCCAATTAAATATCTGCATTTATTAGACAATATTTAAACTATGCTGACATCATTTATTCGTTAACATATTAAAAGTATAAAATTGAACTATATATCATAGGCACATCTGTACGTAATATATGTATAAAAGATACGAAGAATAGCAATGATATTCTAAAGTAAACGAACGGATTCACAGAAAATCGGAAGTGCTCAAGGATTCGCCGAAATACAGCATCGTCGACGAGGGCACCGTGAAGAAACTGATCGTTAGAAAATGCACGGTGGAGGACATCGCGGAATACACCGCGGTGGTCACCAACGTGAAGACGTCGTCGAAATTACGCGTGGAAGGTACGCAATATTATAATTGAAATCGTAACACCTCGACGTTTCATTAATTTCGTGACAAACACGACCAAATCATTTTTTTATCGGGCCGTCGGAAGGGGACGCGAGTTTATGACTCACCCTATACATGTATATCTTATTAAAATTAATAACATAGGGAAGACATTTTTATCTAACTTGCCTATCTTACGATTAACCTGAACGACGTTATTTATTTCGCATAAAAATAAAAATAAATCCGCGATTCGCTAACAAACAACGAACGGAATTTTCAGTGGTAGAAACGCCGCCGAAGATCAATCCGGAGACGCCTAAGAAGTACAAAGTGAGGAAAGGCGAGGACGTCGACGTGATTGTCAACTACACCGGAACTCCAAGACCTAACGACGAATGGACGGTGAACGGCAATGTGGTTACAAAGTCGAAGCGAACTGTGCCGTCGCTGGACGAGGAATACGCGAGCCTGACCATCAGGAAAATCCAAGAGGAAGACGTCGGCGACTACACATTGAAACTGGTGAATCACCTTGGCGAGAGCAGTATCGATATCACGGTCGTCATAGTGCGTGAGTATCCTCTCGGAAATTAAGAAATTAAGAAACGCCGAGTTTTGTTTCTATCGTCGCTAGAGCATAGAGTTCGACGAGAAGAGTTTTCGCATATTGTTCAATTTGTGCAATCGTTTCACAGATCTGCCGAGTGCACCGGGAGCACCGGAACCGTTGGAAATCACCGACGACAGTGTCACGCTTCACTGGAAGAAACCGGATTCGGATGGCAATTCGCCTATCGTCGAATACATTCTCGAACGCCAAGAGAAGACCAAGACTTCGTGAGTACTCGTTCAATTTTGTTTACTTTTTTATTATTATTATTATTGTTATTGTGTTTACTTATTATTATTGTCGGCGTCGATTACAAAATAATTATGAATTATCGCTCGCAGATGGACCAGGATCACGGAGACAATAACGGAGACCACGCACAAGGTCACGAAATTGACCACAAACATGGAGTACACGTTCCGCGTGACAGCCGTGAACGAGGAAGGCCCGGGTGACACATCGCCAAATTCTCCGTACATCAAAATATCGAAGCCATTGGCAGAAGAACCGCCAACCGTCCTGGAACCCCTCAAGAGCGTTATTGCGAGACTAAACGAGACTGTCACCCTCTCCTGTATCATTGGCGGATCGCCAACTCCAGAGATTACTTGGTAACATATATTTCTCTTCGATCATAAACGCAAAGGTTCTTTCGAAATTGTCACTAAAATTGCTGTTTATTTTTTACATTAATTTATTTAATTATTTATTTTATTTTATATATTAATTTATTTTTTATATTATTCTCTTTTTGCTTTTATTGTTTTTTCACTTGTCTCATTATTTTTCTTACTTGCTTCCTTTACCTTTATTACTATTTATTTTTACCATGCGCTAAACAAAACAATATTGCGACACAAACAATGCGTTATATGCTTCGCTATAACATGTACTTTTAATTGAATAAGGCGCAGGTATACTTATTAAAATATCAAATTTTACTGAAACGTTAACGATATGCAAAATCTCTTAACTATGAATATAGACATCCTTATTAAGATATCCTTATAATTACTATAATATCTTCCGTGAACATTCACTGAACAGCAAAAACCATCGACTTCCAGGTTGAGAAATGGCGAAACGTTCGCAGACAGCAGCATCACGTACGAGAACCGCGTCGCGAAATACACCGTCCAGGAGACAACAGAGACCTCGTCGGCGACGTTCACGGTGAAAGCGAAGAACAGCGTCGGAACAGCGGAAACAACGTGCGAGCTTAAAGTACAAGAACCACCGGAGATCAGTTACGACGAGACGCTCGCTAGCCAGAATTTACCCGTGAACACCGAATGGACGATCGAGATACGAACCACCGGTTTCCCGAAACCGGAAGTCACGTGGACGAAGAACAGCAAGAAGATCGTCGACAAACGTGTCTCCGTACGGGCCGAGGAGAAAACTTCTACCATCTCTGTTTCGACTCTTGTCAGAGAAGACACTGCCACCTATACAGCAAAGGCGACCAATCAAGCTGGCAGTTCCTCGGTCGATCTGCGTCTGCGAGTGATCGGTACGTCCGTAAAAGATAGTCGGAAATCCGATACTATTCCCACTGGTTCGGCGAGATACTTCTCGCGCTCCTTTTTATACGATTATTTCAATTTTTCTTTCAAGAGGGTTTTGTGGTTTCGTCATTTTTTAGAGTAAATATACCATAATATTATGTGCCCGGATCCATTATTATTTTTATGTGAAAGGATTAAGAGTACTTTTTCCCTTCAGTAAGGATTATAATTAGATATTTAATCGAGTTTGAGATTTCAACTTCAGCCCTTTTTCAGGTTTTCTGCTGTCTCAGTACTTTTGATATTATTTTAATATCTTATATTTTGATATTGTAATAGTTTATTATTATTATTTCCAATATTTCGATGTTGTAACAATTTATTTATTATTATTTCTAATATTTTAATAATGAATATTATTATTTTATGTTATTTTAATATAATACCGGCACAATTACGCAGCGGATCTTTAACCCTTTGCACTCGAGTGGTGATTCTGAGGCACCACTAAAATTTGTTATATCACCTTACAAGATAATTTTGACATTAACAAAGTTTAGATTTAAGAAATTATTAATAGTGTAAAATAGTGTAAATTATAATAGTATAAAATATTATATATTGACTCTATATTATATATATATAATATTGACTCTAGTTCGAAGAGTCAATTTCATATGCATAAAATGCATTTTCTCATATAAAATAGAAACACTATAAGTTAGAAAAATGATTTTATATTTACAGTTAAAATAGCTTACAGAGTGCAAAGAGTTAATATTAACGCCCGGCACATCGCTGCGAAGATAACATTGAACGGATGATGTTCGAAGTACATATAAATGACATGTTTGCTTCTCGAACGGTTCCAGACAAACCAAGTAAACCGCAAGGGCCGGTGATCTTCAAAGAAGTGAGACAAGATCGTGTTACCCTCGAATGGCGGCCACCGGCCGACGACGGCGGCATCGAGCTCGAGAAGTACACCATCGAGAAGTGCGAGCCCGGCAAGGCCTGGGTGAAAGTGGTCGACATCGACAAAGAGGTGGAGAGCTTCTGCGTCCACAAGCTGCAGCAAGACGCGGAGTACATATTCAGGATCATCGCTAGGAACATTGTTGGAGCATCGGAACCATTGGAATCGGACACGGTCAAGATGAGGACTTCCTTCGGTAACACAATCGTTTCAAAATACATACTCCTTTCATTCTGGACATCATCGTCGCGTTGTATACAGGGTGTCCCAGGTTTTAATGTTCAAACTTTGTCAGTGTATTCTAAGGCACAAAGTAAGAAAAAAATGTTATGTAAACATAGGTCATACAGAGCTTTATTAAGAAGTTATAACAAAAATTCAGAATAGGAATAGTAATCAACTTGCTGTTACTGCGAGCATTGGCTTGAATAGATCAGCACATGCTGTGTGTTTATGTAAGCTGTGTTTATTAATACATTTCGAAATGTCTACCGTCGTTGACAATACATGATTGACATCGATCGAAGATCGAATTTATGACCGTGCGAATTTCGTTTTTATTCTCTTTCATTTCATTGAACGAATTTTTGTTATAACTTCTTAATAAAGCTCTATATGACCTATGTTTACGTAACATTTTTTTCTTACTTTGTGCCATAGAATATACTGACAAAGTTTGAACATTAAAACCTGGGACACCCTGTATATTCTTGTATTTTCTGTTTATCGGGTCAACTTCGCTGCGGTACTTCCTAATCGTTATTTTTTCTTTATTCGTTGAACATTAACTCTTAAAGATTTATTTGAGTTCGCGCGAGACAATAGGTCTCTACTTTATCTTCGATATTAATTGGCACGGTAATTTTTACATATATTATTTGTACGATAGAGGTCACGATGAACGCCAGATAAAAAGTTCCAGATGATGTATTGTAAAATTTATTTTAGATGAACCATCCGTCGTATTTTGTTCTTAGATAGCGTATAAAATAATGAGAACATGGAAAAGTAACTTAAAAGGGTCTTTCTTCTTTTAATGATTGCAATAAGTTGAAAATAATGCAACAGTATCATTACAGTTTGTATTACAATACAATTACAGTTTGAATTACAATATAATTACAGTTTGAATTACAATATAATTATAGTTTTAATTACAATATAATTATAGTTTGAATTACAATATAATTACAGTTTGAATTACAATATAATTACAGTTTGAATTACAATATAATTACAGTTTGAATTACAATATAACTACAGTTTTAATTACAATATAATTACAATTTTAATTACAATATAATTACAGTTTTAATTGCAATTTAACCTAGTAATTTTTCCCTGGATGTATTAGTAGAATCCGCAGACTAAGAATATTTGAATGCATCGAATCTGCAGTAATGCAAGCTTTACGAGACTGTGAGCGTAATTTTAAAAAATGCGAATAAACTTGCAGAACCACCAGGACCACCGAGAGGACCGCTAGAAGTATCGGGAATGACGAAGACATCATTCACAATAAAATGGCAGCCACCGGAGAACGACGGAGGCACGCCAATCACGGACTACATCGTCGAGATGAAGGAAGAATCGAAGAAGACTTGGCAGAAGGTTGTTCGATTGAAATTTTCCGGACGGAAGAATTTCGCGACTGGGGCGATGCTTACGTCGATTTTCTTTCTTGCAGATCGCTACCACGAAATACGAGGTGACCCACTTGATCGTGGCAGACTTGAAGACAGATGTACCCTACAACTTCAGGATAACAGCGAAGAACAGCGTCGGCACTGGACCTCCTTACGTGGCCGAAGAGCCAATCGCGCCGGGCAAACGGCTCAGTAAGATAATAATATTCTTCGTTTTCGAGCATTTTTTTTTTAGGTCAGCTACGTGCCTAAATCCGTTCAAATTCTTACGATTAATTATATATCGTTCGTATATTATTATTATTATTATCTCTTTGTTGAGACCAAAATCGATCCTTTTATCAGTTCCGATATTAATAGTTAACAATTACACGCGACTGCCACAAAATTAGAATTTCGATGGAACGTTTGTAACTCTGGGCTCAAATGGACTACGTCAGGGATTTTTTCATGAATATTGTTATTATGCTTTTTATAACTTTTTCTTTTAGTTAATTTACTAACCCTAACTACTGTATAGGGTGTCCCATAATTATGTTAACACCCGGAAAGCTGCAAATTGCATTTTCTATAAGGGAAAAGTTACTTGAAATGACTTCAACATTTTGTTAACATAATTACGGGACACCCTGTATGATTTGAAGCTGTTATATTCATAAAAAATGACTCGTTCTTTTGGTAAAAAATCGTTAAGGTAGAATAGAAAAACACAGAACAGCCCTTGCATGTACAGCTTAAAATAGTAGTAGATCTTACTTGAATATTTTTTTGTTTAAATGGATAATAGTTTAAGTAGTTAGAAATAACAGATGGCGTGAAAATAACAGCGTTTTCCAAAGATTAATGTCTCGGTATAATTCTAACTAATCTGTAATTTATGAGCAACCATTACAAGCAGACTGCAGATCTTTGTATACATTTTCATTCATCGTCAGTCGCAAGAGATTACTCATCGTAGAAAGAAAATAGAAATGCTATTATAGACCATCATGGTTAATTTATATACGTTTTCGTTGCGTTACAAAAATCTGCACGTATTGTATGGATAAAAGATTCACAGGCTTCGCTTGTTTAACGCTTCTGCTTGAACGATCGCTTAGAAATAACAAAGCTGACCGAAAGCAACATGTACGCTCTGCTGGGTATATTCCCGCCGACGAAAATGGTTATCACCCGAAGTAAGTTGAATTTGTGTCTCGGGTATCTCGTTGGCGTGTATTTTCACGTAACGGAATCATTTTCAGCACCGCCGTCGAGTCCGAAGAATGTACAGGTGATCAACGTTACCAGCAAGAGCGTCACGCTGTGCTGGTCACCACCGGAGAGCAATGGCGGCACAGAACTCACAGGTGAAGAAGAAAAATATATGTATATTTATAAGTTACACTTCGGCAGTATCTATCCAAAAATTAAGAGACACTTGCAAATTAATATATTTAAGGTATTTCGTTTGACCGAATACAGTCGTGATACGAATAAGAAAATTTGACCCTCAAATATCATTAGTCATCATGGGAATGGAAAAATTGTTAATGGCACGTAAGACACCTTTTTACACTGAACAGTTTTTATATAAACATTTTTCTTTTTTCATAGCTTCAACCCAATCCGAGAAATTTTGCTGTAACTCGGTTAAACGAAACACTCGGTATATACAGGGTGTCCTAAATATGTTTCGCAATCCGAAAGTAGGGGATTCCTGAGATCATTCGAAGCAACTTTTTCCTTAGCGAAAATGCAATCCGCGGCTTCGTTTACGAGTTATAAACGAAAAACAGTGACCAATCAGAGGCGAGATCATTTGGCGCGAGACGGCTGAGCCAATGAGCGAAACTGGGCTACGTGCATTCGTTGGCTAGGCTGCTGCGCGCCAGCCGTCAGTGTTTTTCGTTAATAACTCGTAAACGAAGCATCTGAGAAAATTTTCGCAAAGAAAAAGGTTGCTTCAAATGACCGCAGGAACCTCCCATTTTCGGGACACCCTGTATGTAAAATATGTGTATATCTGTTGTGTTGCAATTAATAAATGACGCCGATGTCTGTGCTCTAAATAGGATACGTTATCGAGAAGAGACCGCTGATCGGTAAAGGCGCAAGATGGACGAAAGTTGTTACTTTGGACCCCACGACACTTCAATACTGCGTCGAGAATTTGAAAGAAAGCGAATTCCTCTTCAGAGTGTTCGCTGAGAACAACCAAGGGCTCAGCTTACCTACGAACTCCGAGCCGGTCACCTTGAAGACACATGCCAGTAAGTGTCTCCGCTCGACGTGCGAGTTCACTCTTCATTTTGCGAGCGATGGAATTTATGTTATAAAGGTTTGAGAACGGAGTAGACGTCGACCAGTTATTTATTATTTTGTTATATTATATTTTATTATTATGTCGATAATTTTATCGACAGAGCTTCTCATTTTATTAGAAAAATATAGTAAAAATAACGGACAGATAACGAGCACAAGGGAATAAGAAATTTCAACAAATCTACTAATTAATCGGATAAAATTCTAACGGTAGAGCTTGGCAAAAAATTCGAAAAAGAAATTTCAGAAATAGAAATAGTCGAGCTAACATTTTTATAATATATAATTATACAATATTATAATATAAAATGTTCACCTAAAAATTATTTCTTGTACAAATTCCGTATTCGCTTTTTCAATCTTCCTTATCCGAGACATTGCAGCGGAAAAATTATACAATTGTTTAGGTATTCGATCGTCACGATTAGATTCAAATAAAATAATTTTTCTGCAGGCGTACCATCACCACCGACCGCGCCATTAGAGATCAGACAGATCGCAGCGCACACCGTGGTGATTTCCTGGGGCAGACCGGAAACCGATGGCGGCGCGCCATTGGAAGGTTACAAGATCGCGATCAGGGACGCGAAGAAGACAATGTGGATGGAGGTAGGCAGGGTGAACGCCGACGTGCAGAAGCTGAACATCAGGGACCTCCAGGAGAACCATATGTACCTGATCAGGATCTACGCCAGGAACGAGATCGGCCTCAGCGAACCTCTGGAATCCGACGAACCCTTCAACATTCTACCTGTTTCTGGTACGATCTTTAGCCGAAGAACATACAACAGAACAAGAATTTTTTCGATATTAATCCTGTCGAAATTTATAATCAGACCGTGGATTCTTATGCGGAATAAATAGAAAGTTATTTCTTTTTGTATCGATTTTAATGGCCCGACGATGACGGAGCTCTCAAATTGTTTTTCTTTTTCTATTCTGTTCATTCTGATCTATTCTGATCATTTTTGTAATAAATACACCAAGGATATTATTAATATAATTGTTTCTATATCTAACTTGGAGAGTGCGTTATCTTAGATTCGATTAAAACAAGAATCGTTTATCGTTCCACGTTCCACAATATTTGTATAAATATTATACATATGTTATATACGTATATATATACATATGTTATATATATAATATGTATAATATTATATATTATTATATAATATTATTAAGATTTCTTCATTTTAATGTGTACACACAAATAGTTATCTCGGCGATCGCATTTATCAAATAATGCGAGACAATAATGCAAAATCGATTGACCCAAATCGTTCGAATTATTCGCAGAACTGGCAGTGGTGGAACCGATCGCGGAAGCCACCGAGAAAGGTGAAACCGCGTCGGTGAGCTTCAGCACTGAGAACACGAGCTCCTGGCTCCGGGAACACAACATGGACGCCGACATCCACTCGTACGCGAGGGCAAGGCTTCTCCGCAAAGACGAATACTTCTTCCGCATTTGGCATTACGCTAAGAGGCTCTTCGAATAAGCATTTCTACGAAACAACCGCGACGAACTACTTGGAGGAAACGATCCAAATTGTTCTTCTTCTGATCGAGAACCACGAACAAAGATATAGAAGACATAAGTAAACGCGACGAAAAAGAATAGAAACGAAAAAAGCAAAAGTAATCAACTTCGACATTACAGTTCGATCAACGATATATAAAAGAAAAGAAAAGTTTCTTCCAACGATCAACGAACGTTAGTTTCTTCTTCCACAAATTTTGTACGGCTTCTAACATTTTCGATGTTGATCTCTCACCGTGAACACCGTCGTAGACAATACCGCGACATCGCAATAAGAATAATAATAATAATAACAATAATATCGAACCGCGTTTCTCTTTTGAACTTGTAGCGACCGGATTTAAATCTAAGAGTCGATACTGGATGGGTGTAGAATCTAGTCAGCGTAGTGTTATATATTTATTTATCATTTTTTTTCCTTTTTCTTTCAACGGACCAAGACTTCCTTGCGCACGCATGTTGAATCGAAACGAAGCAACCGAAGTACACACATGGTACTTCCACTTCTCCAGAGAGAATCTTCTCACTATGTACTACTCTAACTTACTAGAATCGTGTTCTTGGAAGTTCGAGGCGAGCCCGAGGGATCACCTCGATGCGTTTATCCCAATGAGAAACCAAGAAACCGCATTCGAAGTTCTCGCGATAGCTTCTTCGAGTATAATGCATTTCTTCATCAAATATTCGAGTCGAGAGTAACCGATAATGAATAAACATTTTTATTAAAGATAATAGGCGTCGCGAGAAGCTTCGACATACTGTTTCTTCGTTTCTGTAGTTTTTCGGTTCGATGGAACAGTCGTTATGTAAAATTGTCAAGCTCAATTATCGATTATAAAGAGCGAATCGACGTGTTCCGTCGGTCCCTCGAATTTCCGATCAGCCAAATATTCGAAGGACTGTCCGCGTTTCCTCGAGACTCCTTCGAAATGAAATACAACCGAGAATCGTCGACGATCGAATAATGTGATAATCGATCGCTCGTCGATAAGTGTCTTCCTGTAAAGAAGTGATTTAGGAACGATTAAGAATACTTGAACAACCCCCCCCCCCCTAATTACCCGTTGTCCGAGATACAATCAGATACCCCCCGAACCCTTTGTATATGTATTTATAATATCGCGAGCGGAAAGCATCGTTCAGTTATTCACCCCGAGTTTGCGAGGATTACTTTTAGTATTTATTCGTAATGTATAATGTATTTTTAATTGTTACTCGTTACCATTACCGTTGTAATAATTATTTAATAAGCACCGGCCGGCGTTCGATGCCGGCGGCGAACGCGACTGGTCAACAAGACTAGATTATTATAAAAAAGAAAGAAGAAACGAAGCAATGCCACGCGCGGTTGGTGTCCACGAGACGTAACAAAATATAGGTGCATGAACAACAGCAACCATTCACCAACGGCATGTCGCATACTTCGCGTTATATATTGTAAGACATTTTTTTTTGCGAATTAAATTATTGCAAATTCAACGGCTCCGAAATTGTTCATTTCACCCCGCTAACGTTTCCTCCTTTTATTTAACGCTAATCCAACCAGGCTTTCGTGGTTAACTTAAATATTTGCACTGGATACAATAGAAATTCAATGAAATACAAATTTTATTCGAACGAAAATATTTAAATTCAATGAAATAGAAATTTTATTCGAACAAAAATATTTAAATTCAATGAAATAGAAATTTTATTCGAACAAAAATATTTAAATTCAATGAAATACAAATTTTAGTCGAACTTAAATATTTATGTTCAATACAACAGAAATATCCATTCAGACGTAAATATTTAAAACGATATAACATAAATTCTATTCAAACTTGAACATTTATATTCGATGCAACAAAAATTTTATTCTAAATTAAATACTTAAATTCAATGTAATGTGTGTGTAAGATTTTATTCAAGCTTACACATTTAAATTCGGTGTAATAAAGATTTTATTCGAACTGAAATATTCATATTCAATATAATACAAATTTTATTAAAAAATTAATATTTAAGTCGAAATAACATAAATACTAATCAAACTTAAACATTAAAATTTAATATAATAAAAATGTTATCAAAAAATAAATAATTAAATTCATGAAGCATTGTTTTCTTTTAAATCGAACTAAATTAATAGAAATAAACAATTGTTCTAAAACAAAAATTCAGTTTGCATTATAGCATTTTTACCACGTAGAACTTGTATTAAAATAAATATTTATATGAAAATCACGTAAATTTGCAGAAAGAATTCTAAAGAGAGTTTTTAAATTGACCTGTGAGAATATAGAAACCGGAAGCATCCCCTCCATATCGATATTCGTCGAGTACGACACCATATCGATATATCTCGAAATAACACGATCGAACATACAAGATGGCAGCCCATTAAAGAGTTCATATATGCGTGTAGTTGTTTTGTGCAGTGCTTGTGTAGTTTTATTCTTAACAATAATTTAACAACTTTAATCATGGGGTAAGTCGTAAATTTCGATGAACATGATTGCACTGATTTAAAAAGTCTCGTTCCCGACGAGCGAAACAATGAGCGAGGTAGTATGTTTACATCGCATATACTTACGTGATCCACTGTTTATTTTCGGAGGAAATCTCATACGCTATTAGAAAAATCTGTTTTCTTTCGGCATTATGTAAGGCTAATGGGTACATTTGGATTAAAAACATTTTATCCCCGCAAGGTTTTCTTCACTATGTGTCCGCTGAAAAAAATAACCTAGTTTTTCTGTTTCACTGTCTTGCTATTTCACCATAGATACCGCTTAACAGACCACGAATGGATTCATGCAAATACTGTGCTGTTCATTTCAAGCTACGTATTAATCATTATCAACGAGAGAAGTAGGAATATTAATTTAATATTTGAAAAATTTTCTGATTTATAATTAACAGGACGCACGCTATTCGCATAAATCATATTTCATTTTTGATTGTAACGCTATAAATAATTGAACATGTTCCTACGTAATATGTAACCGTTAAAATGTATTTCAGTTCGTCAGATCTAGAATGTTTAGATGGTAAGAGAGACATTGTTAGTATAGATTCGGAATCTGATATGTTGAATGACCAAAGAAAAAAGAAAAAGAGAAAACATAAGCACCACAAGCATAAGAAGGACAAATTACTTGAAAGAGAAGATGGAAAAATTGAAAGACAGGACAGGTATGTGTAATGTTTGCTATGTCGTTTAATATATATCGTCACAAGACTATTGAGTACAATATTTTAGGAAAAGGCATAAGAAGCATAAACGACCTAAAAAGGAAAGGGAAGTTGAAAACGGTTCGTTGGATGACAAATCATCTCGTGCTATTCAAAAGGATGTCGGTATAAACGGCAAAATGAAGAATTCCTTACTGGAAGTTGTTTCTACGGAGGAAAGCGAAGATGAAAAGTTAATAGATTTAGATTCGGATGAGGTAGACTGCACAATTATCGAAGATGATATAGATCTTGAAGAATTAATGAAACAAAAGGTACGATCGTCTGCTTTCGCTTTTCATCATTTACATTCATACCTAAATATATTCTGTTATTTATACACAGGAACGGTTACAAGCATGTTTAGTACAATATCTCTCAGATGAATCTGAGAAAGACGATAAAGAAGCCGATCAAGAGGAAGTAAAGACTACTGAAACACCGGATGTTATACTTGTGGAGGATGACAGTGATAATGACAATGTACCCCCCAAAAAACGAGCTAGGAGTAAATCTGGTAGCAGGGAACGGAAAAAGATAACAAAACCTGAAAGGCGTGTTGTTGTAGATATGAGCAGGGATCGTAGAAGTCGGGAGGAACATAAAGATAAACGGCGAGACTCTGATAGACGCAGAGACGAAAAGGTACGTACAAAAGAAGAATTGAGGAGAGATGAGAGCAGAAGGGACGATAGACAAACACGAAAGATAAGTGATAGACACAGGGAAGAGTCCCGTAAGGAGGACAATAATAGACGATCGGAAGATAATAAGCGTAAAGAAACTATCAAAAAGGACGAGTCGCGTAAAAGGGAACAAGACAGACGGTATGTTCAATATTCAAATGATTTAAAATGTTTTTCAATAGTTTAACATAATGGTACGATTGCAGGGAAGAGGAACGACGGAGAGAAACGGATCATCACAATTCCAGATCGCGTAACGATTATAAATCGTTGGAAAACCGAGAACGACAAAGCAGTCGAGATCGTCACGTCAGTCGAGATCGACACGTGAGTAAGGATAGACACGTTAGCCGCGATCGTCATGTAAGTCGTGATCGACATGTTAGCAGAGATCGTCATGCTAGTCGGGATCGTCACGCCAGTAGAGATCGTCCAAGCAGCCGTGATCGTCGCAGTCGAGAGAGACCTTCCAGCAGAGACAGACATAGTCGTGATAAAAGAGATAGCAGAGAGCGTCATGCGAGTCGTGACCGACACAGGGAAAGTCGAAATAGTCGTGACCGTAATGACATACGGGACAATCGAAACCGCGAGAGGATTAGAGAGCGGTCAAGAAGTACTAGAAGATCTCGCAGCCCTGTTAGAGGTAGACTGGACAGGGAACGTAACGATCGGTACAAGAACTCCAGATCAGTATCCAGAAGTAGAAGGGACAGAGAAAAGCATGCCAGAGAGCATGATAGGGACAGGGAGAAGAACGGTAAAAGAGAACGCAACGACAAGTACAAAGACTCTTTGTCGGAGGGACTAAAAGTGGAGCATTCGGATAGTTCTAGCGAAGAGGATATCAAAGATATTGATATTGAAGAAGAAGAGGACGAGGAAGCGATTATAGAACGTAGGCGAAAACAGAGGGAAGAACTTCTCAAAGTATGTATATTCTATAACTATCTGCTGCTTTCGATGTTGTAGACCAGCAATATAACTCTTATCGTTTTATTTCTGTACAGAGGTTAGGCGGACCAAACGAAGACTCCAATATGTCTGCCGATATAAACACTGTCCCAGCTACTCCGCCGTCAGAGAGTCAATCAAACGTATCGCAAAAGTCGTTAGAGATTCCATCGAACAATAATGAATCCACTTCAGAAAGTCATACTCCACCACTGCCTGAAAAGCCAAAGTCGCCGCAAACGGTTAAAAAAAGAAAATCCAGATTCGACGATACACCATCAGAAGACATCGAAAAGAACGACGACACAAAATCCATTGAGAAACTCAAACCAGAGGAGAACGCGAAGAAACCAAACGAATGGGATATGTTCGCTGAAGCGGATAATATCGGCGATTTTAGCGTAAGTCTCTACATATATATAACGGTGTTTGCTAATGTTTCCACTCTTATCTTAAATATCATTTTGATTCACAGAGTCCTACCGTCGAAGGAAAACGACAAGGTGGGCCAGATAACCCGAGTTTAACAGACAACTGGGACGATGCAGAAGGCTATTATCGGTAATATATTTTCTTGGTTCTTTTCTTATATTTTTTATAATGCCTAATATAATTATGTAATTAAATTTAATTTTTAGAGTACGAGTCGGTGAAACATTAGATTCCCGATACGTTGTCTATGGATATACAGGACAAGGTGTATTTAGTAATGTTGTCAGGGCTAGAGACAGTGCTAGAGGCAACTTGGATGTTGCTGTAAAAATAATAAGGAATAATGTATTAATGTAAGCACGATATTTGCATTATTATATAATAATGTTATAGAATATGCATATTTACATCTTACTTGTTGTTTCAGGCATAAAACTGGCCTTAAGGAATTAGAAATTCTTAGAAAACTTAATGATGCAGATCCGGAAGATAGATTCCATTGTTTACGACTTTTTAGGCACTTCTTTCACAAAAATCATTTATGTATGGTTTTTGAACCTTTAGCCATGAATTTAAGAGAGGTACTTATTTTTCTACATTTCTACAAAAAAAAAAAAATAATAATAGGACATTAGTACACGCAATAATAACTGATCTTTGTATTCGCACGATTTAGGTATTGAAAAAGTATGGCAAAGACGTTGGTTTACACGTTAAAGCGGTAAGATCGTATACGCAGCAACTTTTCCTTGCTCTCAAGTTATTAAAACGTGCAAACATTCTTCATGCTGACATCAAACCGGATAACATTCTAGTCAGTGAAAGCAAACTAGTATTGAAACTCTGCGATTTCGGCTCTGCATCCCATGCACACGAGAACGATATGACACCGTATTTGGTGTCAAGGTTTTATCGAGCACCTGAAATTAGTAAGTATTACACATCTATATTGTAAAGTTACTTGCGCATATATTCGCTTAGTAGATGGACGATAATGTTCGCGTCGTGTTCGATATCTGGAGAGATAGGTGTCCTAATAATTACCGGCCGCCATTCGTTCTCGACGGTTCCGGTGTTGTTCCAAGGATTGGTGGGGATAATTCCGTGCCTTCTGTAAGGCAGGAAAAATGTGTCTATTAAGCGAAGATCTCTGTACATGCAATATTCATTAGACAGCTGTTTCAGTCTTTCGATTGCTCATCATAAATTTTGCTTGATTTGCCAAAATTCCTTGATATGTTAAACCTCTATGCGTTCACAAAACGAAGCGCCAAAAACTCAAGAAATTCATTTTTACTTGCTCACTACACACTTGGCATTAAACCAGTTACCGATGGTAACGCGATTGGGCACATCATCGATACTGATTAGAAAGAGAAAGCGATGTATTTCGACCGTGAGTAGCGGATGTTTTAGCGATCGATTCTACAAAACGAAGTACGATGAAAATTGAAATACCCAAATTATTACTAATATTATTATCAATCTACAATTTTGTCATTCTTGATTTTCACTTACTTTAAGGGTTGTAGATTCATCCGCTGAAATATCTAGTCAAACACCCTGAATACATTTTGTAAATTGTTAGAAACTATGCATCATGGTTTTGGGAAAACTGATCGAGCCCACGTTAGGGAAATCTCCATTGTTGTAAAAATTTCGTGACAGTTGCCATGTATTAGATTGTTAACAGTACCATTTTCTAGTTCTTGGTATACCATATGATTTCGGAATTGACATGTGGTCGGTTGGATGCACCATATATGAATTGTACACGGGCAAAATAATGTTCTCGGGTAAAACGAACAACCAAATGTTGAAATTCTTCATGGACCTGAAGGGAAAAATGCCCAATAAACTGATTAGGAAGGGCACGTTCAAGAACCAACATTTTGACACTAACTGCAATTTCCTGTATCATGAAGTTGATAAGGTTACGGAGCGGGTAAGTTGTCTTTCTACTTTTCTTACCACCCTTGCTCTTTGTAGTGCGGTAAGTGCCTGCATAATTACATAAATTAACCGTCTGACTGCTGAGGAGCCCTATCGAGCTCTTCTTATGTTGTGCCAAAAATGCGAAGAGCGCGATGGCGCTCCTGTCTTTTTTTATGCCAAGACTGCGGAGAGCGTAATAACGCTGCTCTAAATCAGGTAGAGGAGTTAAACGTTCAAACCTAATTTGCTCTATTTGTAAAAAGGGAATTAACGCGTTTTGTATAGCAAACCACCCGTGTAAAAAATCATAAGAAATTATTTGTGTTAATTTGACTGAATTATAAGTGCTTATTACCAATTTTACTCACAAAATTAATTAAAACAAATTTATGTAAATATGTGGTATTTTTTAATTTTTGTTGTTGCAAAGCAATACAAGCGAGTTTATTGTGTGAAAAGTGTTTTACATTTTTTCCCATACACGCGCAGTTAGTGCCGCAGTTTTGGCGTATGTCCGAAAAAAATACGTCAGCAGCCAAACGGTTAAAAAGGATCGATTGATATTACGAGCAATGCTTGCATATTAAAGTCGTGAATATTTCTAGGAAAAAGTTGCAGTCATGTCAACGTTGCCTGCTACGCGCGACCTTGGCGCAGAGCTGGGTGGGAATTCTTTACCACCGGAGCAAAGTAGAAAAGTTGGACAGCTGAAGGACCTGTTGGAACGAACATTGATGCTGGATGCCGGAAAGAGAATTACTGTGAACCACGCTCTGGCACATCCCTTTATACAAGAAAAGATCTAGGTAACCCTGTCCGGGGTCCATCCACAACGGAGAATTCATTGACGTAAATTTACAAAACCTGTTTGAAATGACACCGCTTACGATTCGTTGTATATTATAAAACAAACTAACATAAGGCGGTGTCCCTTTATATAGAATGTGTCTTGTATTCGTTTTAGCAGAAAGAGGCGGTGCAAAATTTCACGATTCACTCTAAACTCCCGTCTAACCGATACAGAGAGAAACATTTGAAGAGAAACATAATATATATATGAATATATAATCATACACAAGGGAAAGAAAAAATTACTTGAAATCACACATACATATGACGTTGTACTCTATCAATCTGAGCTGTATTATTTAATGATTGATAACTATTGCAGGTCAATAGAGTGCAATATTTTTATATTAAAGTTAGAACCACTGCAAAACGACGAATAAAAATGTTGGAGAATTCACAGATGTATCACACGCAACGCATAATATGGATCGGTACAATATAGTGTATCAGGGCGTAGTAAATTCGCAGTAAATTCTTCTTTTTCTTTAAAACTCGAGTTGTTTTGCTTAGATATAGTTTATTTCTTTTTCTCTGTGCACAGCACCTATAAAGTAAATAAAACAACGATGCTACACACTAAGAAGAAGAGGCATGCAGAATTTCGTACGTGGTAATCGTGTTCTCTTCCGTGGACGATATGAACTGGGAAAAAGTGACCGCCTCTTTCAGCACTGGCCATCGATACTTAGCATAATGGTGGTACATAGTATTTTTCTTTTTCCCAATCTTTCAATTCAGACAAGAAAGCAAATAAGAAAAGGTAAAAGGAAAAGAAAACATGCGCGACATTATAGTTGAATAATATCGCGTGTAAATTATTATATTCACAAATCGTTATCAATAATGCGTTTACGTTCACAATGAGAAAAAGATTTTCGTGTTTGCGAAACTGTAAGACTTCATAAATTTTGGTAAATCGCAAGCGATTCACGAACGGTTCGTTCTTTTTTTTGGTTGGCCTTTGAAATGTGCGCGTGCATGGCATTTTGAAGTCTCTTCAGCAAATCAAGGAGACTTGTACTAACAGAAGAAAAAAAAAATACAAATTGTATAGTAAATAGGTTATTTGAAATAAAACGACACATGCTTAACTGAATGAGAAACAAGCCCTGTATTTTATACTTTTCAGTCTATTATGACTAATATGAATAATCGCGCGCAGCTCCCGTGCTCTTGAAAGCACGCGCCGTAGCTATAATATATTTAAAAAGCAAGCAAACAAACAAAACTGTACTCCGTTTCGTATCTAGTAACTCTGAATATCATAGGTAGATAACATGTGTTTCAGGAAGTGTTGTAAAATAAGTCGCTATGTTAACACTCGACTACTAATTGACCGTTAGTATCACGGATATTCATTTTCATGTCTAACGTTGCATTTATTTAGGTGACAAAAAAAAACAAAATGTAAAGAAATATAAGAAAATAATAATGTATATATTTGCACTGAAAAATAGAGGGTCTGGAATATTTACCAAGTGGATAGTTTTAACACAGCAATGAAAATGATTTCACGCACAAAATAGTAACAAATAGCGGTCTTATATTTTTGTCAAATGAACTAATGTTTTCGTTCAATAACGAATATGTCCAAAAGCATTATACGATTCCGCATCCTAGCTTCGTAAATTTTATTTCTCTTTTCTTTTTTTTTGTTTCGTTTACTTAATCGTTGCGTTATTCGTTTTTATAAGTACGATACGGCAGAACGTCAATGCTGTTTGAATGGTTCGTGGTAATGTACCTTTACATGACAATATTGTACGAGGCTGCTTATGTTTCAGATGAGTCTTCGATTCAAAGCATCGTTAAGTGCGAGCGGACCTATGCGGGCTTTTAACGCCGATCCCGTTGCAAGGTATTCTTGGGGGACTGCCTTATGGGATATTTAGTATATCCGTTTTTCATTAAAAAACGTTGACCTCTGTTGCGAGTCAAAGCCTGCATAAATTTGTATTTTATCTCTTCAAAGGGAGAGCATATATTTGTCTCATACGTGTACATATAAATACATATACTATTATTATACATACATAAGCTAAGAATCATCGTACATAAAATTTTCCTAACGAGTTACAAAGTGATGCCTTGAAAGGATCTAAGAGAATACATAGCGGAGTTTGATTATTTTATTATCACATTTTCCAAAGCATGAATACTTACTTAGTCTGTTCTTCTAATAATTTGTAAGAGAAAAAGGAATTTGTTCAATAATCGAATGTATAAAACAAGAGCAATTAGATATTATGGGGAAACTTAAATATACTAAAATAAAAATTGAATACACCGAAACTTAGATTAGTTTTATAGTTTTCTAATTGGCAATTTGGTAATGTTTCACTTGTAGCCCTCCCCGTAAGGAGGGGAGGCAATGGAAGAGATGATGAGATCAGTTGGTGGAAAGCACTGATGACAAAGGATATGGGGTAGGATCCTCGCAGCGGCTGCTTCGCTTCTTGTGTGTAAAATGACGACACTGTCACAACAGGGATCAGCAAATGTTTAATTAAATTTGTAACAGCAGGAAGGTTTGTCTTAATGTTTCGATTGAGATTTATGAAAACCGTAAGTATGTGAACAGGTAAGGTACATGTCTGTGAGAATTCTAAATTATCATATAATGAATTATATGTAGAAATGATCTAAATGCCGCGTATGTACATAGATATGTATATACTCAACTACAGGTAACATTGAAGAGAACGTAATACTAATATCTTTGGCCTTCAGTTTTCAGATGACTATAAGCAAAAAAAAAATCTTTGAAAATAGTTTTAATGCGAATAGACAAGTTTTACATGTGAAAAAGTACTATAACGATCGCCGTAATAAATTATACGTATACATAATGGGATAAATAAATTTATTTCACGCTGTACCTTGATACAGTACTTTACATCTAGCAATAAAGAAATTACATTTTTGTAGACCGCACACGATCCCTGCCGTCGATGCAAAACATTGTTGAGCATCTTTATTATCATATATATATATACATATGATAATTTGTGTTAAATTTAGATTTATTCATACATATATCTCTTAAAGATATTGTTATCCCTGTCTTAAACGTTTATGTAAGAAATTCAAATATAAGTACGCTCTTTAAACATTTATATTTATTGTTTTAATTCAGAAACCTTAAATGCCTGCAACGATAAACAAACTTTCTATATTAGAACTGAAACGATACATTGTAATGAAAAAAATTTTGATGTAGCATAAATTATATATACATACATTAAACATGTACATCGTTCAGCGCATACAGTGTCGCCACAACATTTTTCATTCTTGCGTTACTTTAAGATTTTATCGGCGCAATTTTTAGTCACGTTCGGGATAGTATTGAACTAAAATTTCGGCCAGCGATTGCGCTAACTCCTCTGTTGATGCGCACAGAACTCTTCTGCTCATTAGATCAAGCGGACCACCTACGATCAAAGTTGTAAAAACGGAGAAAAATAGTAAATTCATTTTGTGTCTTGACAATTATTTTGCTTGAAATGTTAGATCGTAACGAGGGCAATTACCAGCAGGATCTATGCATACACCACCAGCTTCCCTGACAATAATATCACCAGCAGCAATATCCCAAGCATGAATGCCGAATTCAAAAGAAACGTCTGCTCCACCTAGAGCAACCATGCACATGTTTAAGGCAGCAGATCCCAAAGCGCGTATTCTAGAAAAAAGATAAAGTTATTTGAAACGATATAGTACATAAGATATACAATAATAATAAAATATAATATAATAAAATATAAGATATACAATCAGGCATTACCCATGAACTTGTGGAGGAAGTTTGGTCGCATTTTCCAACACAACTTTAATTTTCTCAGGATCTCTGCTGGTGCCCATTTCCATCATTACCAGAGCTTTGCGTAATTCTAAAAAAACATAATTAATTAAACGATTTAACGTGTTATTCGATTTGTCACGAATACCTTCTTACTATTTTAATAATTATGAAATAAAAAATCGGAAACAGGCCATTTTTAATTTGATAGAGAACAGAGCGATAGAAACCTAGTAATTGTAACGTCATTAATTAGAGCATAGTACATAGTAATACAGATACTAATTACCTTTTTCCCCAGATACCCGAATGGGAGCTCCATTAAGAAATGCACCTTGCCCCTTGCGAGCTGTGAAAAACTGTTCCAATATCGGATTGTAAACGACTCCGATTTCCGTAACCTTGTTAATAACTAATGCGATCGATATACACGTGTGCGGCAAGCTATGTACGAAGTTCATCGTACCATCGATGGGATCGATGATCCATGTTGGTGCGTCCGTGAGTTCGATCTTCGCGCCCAGCGAACTTTCTTCCTCGCCGATAAATCTACGTGAAAACATATTTTGTTAGTTATTAATATTACTGTCTCTATAAATAAATATTATTGAAAAGCAAATGTAGAAAAATAATTTTATCACTGAACAAAGTTACGATAATAATAATAATAATAATGACTCGGATAATTTTCTAGTAACAAATGCATTTGCTTTTGTGAATACAAACATAAGTTATCGTTGACATTAGAAAAATGTACGGGTGTGAAAGTGTTCCGAGATGTTTGAACAATTCTAATTATTGTGTAAGCGAGAACAATGTTTGTTTCGATTAATAATAATAATTTCGGGAAATTTACGAATCGGCTCGATGTTTCTAGAACCGGCGGGACGGAAGATTCCATTAGTACGCATCGTCTGATCCCAGACCAAACTCGTAATGAGCGTAAATGTTTCGATGGTCGAGACGAAATTATGGTCTGTTTAGATGCACCGTGCACGGAGATCCAATAAAGAGTAATTTGAAAATTATTCACCACGTGATAATGAGTAATCTTAATAAAGAAAGATATCGTTTCATCGCCGAAGTTGACACGTCGTATGATAAAGCTGGTTAACATAAAAAATTGATAGGTATCAAATAATGATATGATACAGTTCTAGATAATATCAGATTACATCTATAAATAATAATAATTGCACCATTTCCAAACGAAGCACATGTATACAACTCTTTCGCGTATATTATCTGAAAAAAAACAATTCATCGTACAATGAACTAAATTGCCAACAGATATTAAATTAATATTCGATATCTATAAATTAACTCGTCCACGGCATCATAAAATATTTTTAACGCATGATACGATCAGACAATTCTGTGACAGATGTCAAGTACAGTTTTTGCTCCCTTGCACATTAAAATTACGAATCAATAATTGGAAAGAAATTATATGACAGCACACTAATTTTTAAATACCCGATATAATATTATATTATATTATATATAATAATATTATATTATAATTATATATAATATTATATCGGGTATTTAAAAATTAGTGTGCTGTCATATAATTTCTTTCCAATTACTGATA